CTGCTTGACTTGCTGTAGATTTTACGTTCAAAGAATGGAGAAGCACGACCTTTTCCTCTCCGAAGAGACCAAAGAGAAGTTGTCTAATCGCCAACGGGTACTACTCGGTCTCCCGCTCAAGCAAACGTCGAATGGCGCAGACAAACAAGGCTGGGGAAGCATCTATAAATTGGGAGGAATTGACGCCGGTAGAATGCGGGTAGCTGTGTAGCAGGTTCTACCCATTAGTGTTCAATTTAGCGGGTTCTTGCGATGTTGGCCATAGGTTGAACTTTTCCCCCTTCTGTCAGTGCCCCAAAGTGACCGGGCATTTCCGTATAGAGATCTATGAGACTTGTCCACTACCATTGGTGGTAACCGATTGATCTTACTCATAACCTAGGGGAGAAGTCTGGGTCAGGTCTCCAATGGTTGTACTGTAGTACAAATATCATTTACTAAGTTCAAGTTTGAGCAGAATAATTGATAATCCCCACCCCGCTGCATTCCGACAATCTTTCCCTGCTTCTCTTGCCTCGGCGATTCAAATCAGTCTGACCTTATAGGTCAGTACATCAATCGGTCAATTCACTGCAACACTGTTCTGTTAAAACATAGCAAAATGATCATTCAAAGCCTAGAAGACTCGGTGTACTTGACTTGGGCTGATAACCGTTTGAGTTCTTTCTCGAGGAAAGCCAAAAGCCAATTTGCACTCTCATCTTCTACAACACCGGCCTCCCAGTTCACTGTGATACCCATATAGCCCCCAGCTTGAGAAACTACACAAACTGTGTACGGCGCTCCGTTAGTTGCTATCCCCGCCGACAACACAAACCTATCAACACTGGCCCTTGGCCGAGCAGCTTGTTCGTCGATTTGCGAAGCCTGACTATCCACAACCCCAAGGTTGGTCAAGGTAAAAGCATGCCGCCTAGAAGTTCCACTCGATCTCAGGAATCCATTGCGATGGTCATTTTTGAATTTCAGAAGACCGTTGGTGAGGTTCGCCGTTGAAGCGCTTCGTTGGCGTAGAAATTGTTTGCACATGTTCGCAGACGCCCAGAGTTTCGAGTCGTTTGTAGAGGACAATGTGTTGTCATCATCTTGGGAAGAACTGGCAGTGCGCTGACACGGAATGTAGCCCGGTGGTGGGTTGTCGTCTGCGCAAAAGCGCGGCTCCGCAATACTAGTAAAGCAGCCCATGTCATCTTGGGCGTGTTTCGAATACTTTCTAAGCGAGAAGGGTACGGAGGCCGTAAAACGCGTACTAGGCGTATGCAGAACGGATAAACCAATGGCCACCAGAACAGTTAAAAGAGCTGTGATGCTTGTTTGGTGTTGTCTGCATTGGCGCAAGAGGCTGCGGGTTTCCTGTTGCGGCAGATGGAAATATTGCAAGTTGCTGAAAGGCGGTCGCGTGCTCCCGATGGGCGGTCCAACCCACTCTAAGGGATCGATCGGAGCATACACGAGTGCTTTGAACAACAGGCGCAAAAAGTATAGTCTAGACATAGGGAATGTCATACTTTCTTCCAAGTAGGGAATGAGCGGTAATTTGGGTACTGCAACTATCTCCTTCCCCGCGAGGTTAAGATGTTCACTCCCCGCGGTTGTCTCTGTGGAAGATAGTAGCTGGTTCAAGCATCTATGAAATGTCTTATGGAATGCAATCATTGAAACGCCATCTCCAACGACATGGTGACAAACAAAAGTGTTACGACCCGTCAGATGCACTTAACAGACCCACTGGGTCGGGCGGCTACGACAGGACATATGTACGTAGGATCACGGGAACAAGGGTAAACCTCTCGGCAAGGAAGAACTACGTTACAAGTCACGTGACAATCGACCAATCAGGACAGAGTCGACAGAGTCGACGAGCGACTCTGTAGACTCCTGTAAAGGACCAATCAGAAGAGAGTCGATAGAGTCGACGAGCGACTCTATAGACTCTCTAAGACATTGGGAAACGGGACTTGTATATAGACCAGGACTTGAGCATCTGCTTAAGCCTTCTAGATAGTTCTTCAGCAATCAACTTGTGATTCATCCTCGAATGACTTTCAGCTTACCTCTCAGTATTGTGAATACTAAGAACCTCGTTACCATAGTGTAAGACTGATCACCTTACCCTAACCCTACGATCTACCAGAACGACCTCTACGAACCAGTGTTAGTCTCTTACTGCACCTTCTGTTAGCAGAACCCTACTGTCAGATAGCTGGCCGTAACACTTTGATTGCTCCTGTTCAGTAAGTTGCCCTTTGAGACTAACGAACAGTATAAGACAAGATGTCTTCGCACGGAACTACCGAAAACCCTACTCCTGGAACCTCGTCCACGTCCGAGAGACGTATTCCCCAGAATCTGGCCCAAGAGATTCAAGACCAGGAAATGAAGGAGGAATCCGATAGCGATGACGACAATGAAGAACTTAAGCGGCAACTTGAGCGGAACAACAACGAGCTCAGGGAAATGAAAAACCTGTTCAACCAGAACGTCAAAGCCCTCAAGGAGCTACAGGAACAAGCCCGCCGCACCAAAGAACTAGAGAAGGAAGTCACAACCCTTCGAGCTGCCGCGAACGTCATATCAGCTCCTGTCGAAGGAAGAGAACGCCTTAAGCTCAACACCCCTACCACCTTCGACGGAACCCCTGGACAGCTCAAAGGATACTTGGTACAGATACGGACCTACCAAGCCTTCCACATCAACACGTTCCAGAACGATACCGAACGTGTCGTCCACGCCGCCACCTTCTTGAGAGGGAAGGCCCTCGCTTGGTTCGAACCCCTCCAACAAGAATGGCTGGACACCCCTATCGAGAGATACAGTCAAGAAGTGAAGGACATCTTTTTCAGCTTCAGTGGATATGTTAAAGCCCTTCAATCTCTCTTCTTAGACCCCGATGAGAAAAGACAAGCAGAAAGAGAACTGGCGAGCCTACGACAAAACAAATCAGCTACAATGTACGCCGCAGAATTTCGACGACTCGCAGCCAGACTCGACATGACCGACGAAAGCAAAGTCTTCGCTTTCTACCAGGGTCTCAAGGACGACGTCAAGGACGAAATGGCCAAAGTGGACACGCCACCTAGCTTCCTTGATTATGTCGAATACGCCATTAAGATTGACAACCGACTGTTTGAACGACGCAAGGAAAAAGGAGAAAAACGTCAAACAGCCAACTCAGGAAAGAAATACCAATGGCAACCTCAACACAAGTTCAACAACAAAAACCAGAACAACAGGAACAACAATCAGCAGAGCACCGCACATGGACAACACAGTGGACCCATGGACCTGAGCGTCGCGCAAAAAGACAAACCCAGACGCAGAGAATTCAAATGCTACAACTGCGACAAGCCAGGACACATGGCCAGACACTGCATACAGCCTAAGAAACTTACGGCAACCCCTAAGCAAGCCAACGCTGCAACCAAAATCCCTAGCCACGAAGAAAAGGGATGGACAGCCTGCTATGACAATGATTGCACTACGCACAGGCATGCAAAAGAGAATAGTGGATGGTACCCTCAAAACCCAGCAGGACGATCGGGATACGACACCACCAACATACCCAAGGCCATTGCTGTGATAGACCGATACACCGGTGGACCGGATTACACTAAGCAGCGACAAGAGCCACTCGACGACTGGGAACAAGCGAAGAAGGCCGCGGAACTCAACAACGCCTTCCAAGATGGTAGCATTGTGTACCAACCGGGACTCTTATGGGACATCCCACGCCTCGCCAACTATCGACAGACGAATGAAGTAAACACCCCGGAAAGTCTCTCAGAAGAAGAAGCCAGGAAACTCGAAGAAGAAAACGAGACAGCCATCAAACGGATACAAGACGCCATCAACTACACGATGCAAATTCGAAACAACAGCGAAGTTGGAGACACCCTCCAACACATGCGGAAAACCCGAGACCGCCGCATCGCACTACGCGGAAACACCCGAGGACAGTATCAACTCAAGTACAAAGCAACCCAATTTGTCTACCGACCCCAAAACGATGGAAAGACGGAACGAACCCTCGCGGTAGCCAGCAAATACGCCCGCAAAGCCACCGAGCAATTGGATGAAATGCTGAGACAACAACAATTCAGGGACGCCAGCACCCAGACCCGAGTATACCAAGCAAAGGACAACCTAAGCCAACGATGGAGCTCACCATATACCACGGTAGCCAGCGACTCGACCTTTGAATTGCCACAAAGAACCCGCGCTACTCCTCAACCCATCTCGGAATGGGCTGAAGACGTCGCAGACGGACCACCCTCGGCGGAAGTACGTCCACAAGGAACGTCGATAGACGATACCGACCCGGAAGACGCAGAAGAAGAACACCATCTCGACAGAATGGAAAAAATTAAGGAAGTACTAGAATACAAATACATCGACCCCCAAGACGACTGCCAACAGATCGCCTTCCATGCAGAAGAATATCATAACAAAATCCCTACAACAATCACACAAACCCGGGATGAAGAAATATTCTTGGAAGACGATCCCAGGATTACGACACAGCACAGAGAACACAAGGAGATAGCATGGATCTACTGCATCTTCGATCACTGCGCCTACCATCTCTTAAAGAAAGCAGAAAACGAACTATACCCCAAAAGAAAAGAAGAACTGCGAATCCGCAGAGCCCATGAGGAACAAGAACTCTCATATTGGGAAGTACGGGGAGAACCCGGAGAATGGAAAACCAACAACAATGGAATAGCATTCCTACGACCCAGCGTCGAATACCCTCAGAAGTGTGTGAACCACTTCACGGGAGTCTGGTGGAATTGCAGGGAAGACCTATGCAAACTCCACTACATTCCAAAAAGCGAAAGTTGGAGATTCCGACAACAAGAACTAGACAAGCAAGGACAGGACGGCGAGACGCCCAGCCCACCTCGTCTAGGAATCAGAGAAAGTAACCTCGGCAGAGACCGAAAGAAGGGCGAGAAGGCCCTCTACTCAAAAAACTAGGAGAGCCGCCTTGTCCGGGACACATGGCGAGCTCCCCCAGCAAGTCCCTATGTGCTACATTCGACGACGACGCACAAATGAAGATCACAGTAAACCTGGGCGGATACACCACACAGGTCCTGATAGACTCAGGAGCCCAAGGAAACTTTATCGCACCCCGAATAGTGCAACAGCGAGAAATACCATGGAATCAGAAGCAAAACCCTTACCGACTAAGGAATGTGGAAGGGAAAGAAGTCGAGTATGGCGGAGGCAGCATTGATCAGGAGACAGCGCAACTCCCTTTGCTCTACCATGGCCATCAGGAGCTTATCAGCCTCGACATCACGGAGATAGGAAACCACGACGTTATCCTCGGAATTCCATGGCTACGAAGACATAACCCACAAATCGATTGGGTTACCGGCCGAATAAAATTCAATCCAGCCTCTGAGAAGCACTCGACGAAGGCCTCATGCGGATTACTAGCAGCAACCAGAGCAAGACCACGCCTGATGCTAAGGATAAAAGACATTGGCACTAGGACGCTAGCAGCCACGACGATTGACAAAGTCACGGAAGATCCAATGTCAAAGATACCTGTTGAATACAGGGTCTACAGCAAACTCTTTGCACCAGAACTCGAGACCGGATTACCGGAACACAGCAAGTGGGATCACAAGATCGAAATTAAGGAAGGACACGAACCCACCTTTAACAAAATATACCCACTCAACCAAGAAGAAATGAAAGCCTTAGACGAATGGCTTGACGAAAATCTTGCGAAAGGATTCATCAGACCTTCGAAATCACCCGCAGGATACCCCGTACTATTCGTACCAAAGAAGAACGGGAAGAAACGACTTTGTGTCGATTATCGACGACTCAACGATATTACGATCAAAGACTGTTACCCACTGCCCCTCATATCGGAACTAAGAGACCTACTCTACGAGGCCCAATGGTTCACAGCCTTGGACCTTAAAGGAGCCTACAACCTTATCCGAATTGCAGAAGGAGATGAGTGGAAAACAGCCTTCCGAACGAGAAGAGGACAGTTTGAAACGTTAGTCATGCCATTTGGACTCACCAACGCACCGGCTACATTCCAAACTATGATCAACCAAGTACTACGGGAATATCTGGACAAGTCTGTTGTTGTGTACCTCGACGACATCCTTATATTCTCCAAAACGTTGGAAGAACACAAGAAGCATGTCCACGAGATTCTCAAAGCACTCGAACAAGCGAAGCTACTTGTGGAACCAGAGAAGAGTCTGTTTCACAAACAGGAAGTAGAATTTTTAGGGTTCACAATCACGCCAGGCGTAATCAAGATGTCCCCTAACAAAATCAAGGCTGTGCAAGAATGGCCTACACCAGAAAACCCGAAGGACATACTATCCTTCTTAGGATTTGTCAACTTCTACCGAAAATTCCTCAAAGACTACTCCAAAACGATATTGCCTCTTACCGAACTCACTAAGAAAAATGCACCTTGGGAATGGACAGACAAACAACAGAAAGCGTTCCAAGAAGTCAAGGACAAGGTCACATCGGAACCCGTCATCCAGATTCCGAACCCTGAGAAGCCCTTCGAGCTCGAAACGGATGCTTCGAACGAAGCTGAAGGAGCGCAGCTAGGCCAAAGGGACGAGAACGGAGTCCTACACCCCTGTGGATTCTTTTCAAGGAAGTTCCAAGGACCTGAACTGAATTACCAGATCCATGATAAGGAACTTATGGCAATTATCGACGCATTCAAAGAATGGAGACCCCAACTATCAGGAACAAAGTACGAAGTAAAAGTGTACACGGATCACAAGAATCTGGCACACTTCACCACTTCGAAAGAGCTCAACAAACGACAAATCAGATGGTCAGAATTCCTCTCAGAATTCAACTTCAGAATCATCTACAGGAAAGGATCAGAAAACGGCAGAGCAGACGCGCTCAGCCGAAGACCCGATTACAAGGACGAAGTCCCAGAAGAAACTCAGGTTATCCTCAAAAAAGACAATGGCGACCTCGTACCCGCCGCGAAACTCTTAATGATCGGCGACCGTGTCAAGACCAGCACGACTGGAAGAATGACACACGACCAGATCAGGGAGATACACAGCGCACCCGCTCACGGTCACCAAGGAGTTACGAAAACCTGGAAACGAATTAGACAACACCACGACAAGCGAGTAACAAGAAAAGACGTCGCTGACGCAATCAAGGATTGCGAAGTCTGCGCAAAAAGTAAGCCCAGCAGACACAAACCATATGGAGAATTACAACCATTGCCAGCACCACCAGCACCCTGGCACTCAATCTCTCTAGACTTTATCGTCAAACTACCAAAATCGAGAGAACCACTCACTAAAGTACAGTACGACAGTATACTAGTGGTTGTGGATAGATTCACGAAGTACGCGTATTTCATACCATACTTGGAATCAAGCACGGCAGAAGACTTAGCATACACCTTTCTCAGGATCATTGTCAGCCAACACGGCCTGCCCCAGGAAATAGTATCAGACAGAGGATCAGTCTTTACGTCCAAGTTCTGGAGATCCCTGATCTCGCAGCTCGGAGCAAAGCACAGCCTCAGCACTGCCTTCCACCCGCAGTCCGACGGACAAACGGAAAGAATCAACCAGATCCTGGAAACGTACCTAAGGAGTTATGTGAACTACGACCAGGACAACTGGGTCAAGTTGTTACCAACCGCACAGTTCGCATACAACAGTTCAATAGGAGAAAGCACGCGAGAATCACCTTTCTTCCTCAACTATGGATTCAACCCTACCGCTTATGGAGAACCCCGAACCGGCTCTGCCGCGATAAAAGCAGTAGCAGACATCAAGAAACTTAAGGAAATCCAACAAAAACTACCCCAAGAACTCGAATTCGTACGGCAAAGAATGAAGAAACACGCCGACCGACATAGGGTGAGAGGCCCACCCCTAAAAGAGGGAGGTAGCGCCTACCTCATACGGCGAAACATCAAAACGAAACGACCTAGCGACAAACTCGACTTCAAAAAACTAGGACCTTTCGAAATCACGAAGAAAATTTCCGAAGTCAACTACGAGTTGAAACTACCGGAAACAATGAAATGTCACCCAGTCTTTCACGTCTCATTATTAGAACCAGCACCGGACGGTACACACACCGAAGACTGCATCATTGTGGAAACAGATGACACCGAATACGAAGTAGAACGCATTCTAGACCACCGGAGGAATGACGAAACAACAGAATACTTCATTAAGTGGAAAAACTATGGACACGAAGACGATTCGTGGGAACCAGCTAAGAACCTGGAACACGCTCAGGAAGAACTCCAACAATACTGGCACCAGAGGACGTCTCTGGACCCCAGTCGTCCAAACCGACGCCAGACCAATCCACAACGCCAATAGCACCCAGGGAATGAAGTGCACCCACAGTTTCCGAGCTAGCACTCTGCAAACCAAGAACCTCGGAACGATACTCATTCTCAACCTCCTCCACACGCCGCAAACCAGATCGAATGAGATCAGTCGCCTCACGATTGATGTCCTTGCGACGCCTTCGTAAACGACGAATCTTCGCCATAAGAGCTAACTGCTCTTCTTCAGCTTTCTCAAGCTCATCATCAATTTTTATTTTCTGTTGCCGAACCCGAATGAGGGAAGCCGCGGAAGGACCGTGAATGTCGCAAGAATGCTTATCGGCAACGCAACGCGAACAACGAGAAGAATTAACTTCGGAAACGACGCAGTCGACACCGGCAGCCGCGCAACCGGAACAAGGGACAGGCATGATGAACCCGAACAAATCGACAAGCTGGCTAAGTTCCTTATAAGCCACAGGGTTCTTTGATTTGGATTTTTGAACGCGACCTGACATGATGTCAGCATTATGAATAAACAAGGAAGCACGATTGACGACTCCCCAACCTGGGAAGCCACGACCTACTTATGTTGGCCTTGAGGACAAGACCATCGAGGGGAGACCTGATGTTACGACCCGTCAGATGCACTTAACAGACCCACTGGGTCGGGCGGCTACGACAGGACATATGTACGTAGGATCACGGGAACAAGGGTAAACCTCTCGGCAAGGAAGAACTACGTTACAAGTCACGTGACAATCGACCAATCAGGACAGAGTCGACAGAGTCGACGAGCGACTCTGTAGACTCCTGTAAAGGACCAATCAGAAGAGAGTCGATAGAGTCGACGAGCGACTCTATAGACTCTCTAAGACATTGGGAAACGGGACTTGTATATAGACCAGGACTTGAGCATCTGCTTAAGCCTTCTAGATAGTTCTTCAGCAATCAACTTGTGATTCATCCTCGAATGACTTTCAGCTTACCTCTCAGTATTGTGAATACTAAGAACCTCGTTACCATAGTGTAAGACTGATCACCTTACCCTAACCCTACGATCTACCAGAACGACCTCTACGAACCAGTGTTAGTCTCTTACTGCACCTTCTGTTAGCAGAACCCTACTGTCAGATAGCTGGCCGTAACAAAAAGCCAGGACAAAGGACACCGCACGATCCCGATCAATGTTGTCAGTCGGCAGAACGAGTAGACAACGCCATAGAGGAACATCATGCCGTCGTACCAGCTTGTCTTGATGTTCTGCTTGTATCAAGGCGGCGATATTTGAGGTAGATTCTGATCTGGTGAATTTTAATACTTTCCGTAGGTCGATAGATTCGATCCTACTGAAGCTTGGCTGCGCAGTATCCTCGTCCTCCAGTGTAACTCCCAAGATAGGGTGACATATTATCGTTTCTCTCAAGCCCGAGTAGACCAAGCTAAGAATGTCCCTGCTTAGGTAGCGGGCTGTACTGCGAGGAAGGAAATATTCTGTAGAGAGTACTGCAACATTGTAAAAGCCGACTACGTGCTGATGAACAAGGTACTTCTCAAGAGGACCTAGTCAACGATTGAAACACGGTTACTCTTTGGCTTCTGATTGTGTACGGGTGTGATGATATGCCTACCAAGGGGACGCAATGAAAGCTGCTCCATCTCCTCACGCTCCTAGTAAAATGTCGCAATTGGCATAGGTGCGGTTACAAATTTGTCTTGTGAAGGTGTTGAGGCAGGTAAGGAAGACTAACTACACTACAAGCCTACAGTCTTGGTTGTAATGTCTCAGCGTTCCCAGGACAATAATCCCATTTCCTATTAGGTATAAATAAATACATAAAAATTTATTTCTTACCTTAACAAGGTAATTATTTATTATAAGCTTAAGTTTCTACTTAAGCTTATTATTTTGAGTTAGATCTTTTTCTTTCCATCGTTTATATTTTTTTATTAATAAATCTATGTAAAAGCTTAAATTTAAGTAAGATATATAAGTCTAATTCATACTACTAATGTAAAGTATAGAAATAAAGAGAATTCTAGATGTAATTATTTCTAAATTAACAACTATGAATAAATTTACTTATATTATTTTCTATAAGTATAAAATATTCTAAAATTTTAATAACTAAATTATTTAATTAAGATATTCTATTAAGACTATAACGTCTTATAATTATATTAAGGTATATATTTACTATTTACTAGACATACGTATGTTACTATTAGTCTATTTCTTTGAACTTTAAGTAATTATCAGGATCATCATCCAGCATCCTTATCCACATCAAGACCCTGCATTACTACCCTGCATTTATTACTAAGCATCACCCCTGCTCCGCTCTATTACCTCCACGCCCTCAGATGTTAACTGCAGCGTGCATACCTACTAAACCCAGTCCGACGCCATTACTATATAACAAACTACTCTGTCTTATTCAATAAACAAATGATAGGCCTTTCCCGACTATAACCAAGCTTCTGGTTCCACATTCCAGAGTTATCCGCGGTGTAATCTACTCATTTTATTTTCTTAGTTTCTCATTCCTTGAGGTAAATTTAGACCTTACAGGCATGCTTACGCCTCTGATACTTTTTAGTCACTTTCCTACCTTGAAGTTTTATAGACAACTTGCCTGAAACACGACACGTAATAACTCGACAATTAGGTTGTTGGTTTGTTGACACTAGTTTACAAATGTTGGCACAAGCTCTTATGATGGAAGAACTTGTTTTGATTATTTAAGCTTTTAGGTTGCTAGCGTAATAGTATAATGATAACGTTTTATGGTTATCAACCCAGCCCTGTTAATACTTATGCAACCTCTTGGAATAATCATCGAATCAACAACTTTGCCAAGAGGCTGGATGCGGCCTGGATTCTAGTAACCACTAGCCACAAGTACAGCAAAAGTATGATTGTTTCACACCAGGCCTAAATAGGATGGTACAACAAGATTACGATTCGTCCTCACAGAACCCAAAATCTTGCTCGTACTCAAGGACGAAGTACCTCGTTTCACTCGGATAGCAGCCGCAGTGCCCACTTTCTTTGTTTCTGTTGCGCAAAGGCTTAAATTCATAGTTTACCATTGGGTCATTATCGCGTTATCCAAGTTGACCACAAGTTATTGCACAGCACTACGGAACGGGACATAGGTCTAAGCAGACTTTATCATCACCTTAACTATAACCTTGTGATGGATACTGATTCAGCAATGAAGCGTCTGGAGTCCGAATACGGGACAGATTGGTTCACTATTGCCACCATCGAGACTCTTGGCTTGTAATGCAGTTGGTTGCCCTGACTTGCTTGCGACAGACTCTCTCTTAGTTCCGCTGATGGTAAATAGCATTTCAAAAAATTATTAGCTAAATGTCGCCTTGACTAACCATTGTAAATTGTCTTTGAGAGGCTTACAACATCACGATGAACAGAACGACTACTTCGCGTCCGTCTCGTGCAATTCTTCTTCTTCATGGCAGCGGATCGTCAGATGCTATATTCAAATTCCAAACATCCAAAATTCGGGCTACTTTGAAGGACAAATTTACATTTGTGTTCGCGAAAGCCCCGCACCCCTCGGAGCCCGGCCCTGGAGTGCTTCCATTCTTTGCCAAAATGCCGCCTTACTTCACATGGTTCCGAAAAGGAATCGAAGCAACAAAGCAAGAAATTGGAGTCTTCAATCAGTGCATCGAAAACACCGTCCTGGCCTGGAAAGCTGAGAACCCTTCAGGGGCGATTGTTGGAGTGTTGGGCTTCTCACAAGGCGGCATAGCATCCACCCTACTGCTGTGGGAACAGCAAATGGGCTTCGCACCTTGGCTTCCGGATCTAGAGTTCGGCATCTTGATTTGTTCGGGATACTACGAAGCTTTGACTGAGTGTATGAGTGATCTGAGCATTGATAACCATCACGGCGGTCAAGTCTCGACGACCAGATTGCCTACGTTGCATCTTTACGGACGACAGGATGTATTTGGCGCTCCGTCGTCCAAGAAAATGTTTGCAACCCATTTCGCCGTAGACAGCGCCCGAATGGAAAGTTTCAATGGAGGTCATGAGCTTCCTCGAGATGAAGATGACCTTAAGCTTATCAGGAGTTTTGTGACAGAACGCATAGAGGCCAACCCAAGATAGAACGGAATCATGTGTTTACCATTCACACGCTGCAATTTGTTGTGTATAAGTGTTACTATGGAGCCGTTAGGGAGTGAAGTGATAGCTACGTAGCTTCAAAATCTTTCATCCTACAGATGTCCTAACCACTTACAATTGATATGGAATCCCTGATCTCCATGGCAAATGCTCATCCACCATTCGCCAGTCAGCTCACATACTGAATAAGCTTCAATAGTCACAAAATAGTATCGTTTTGACAACTCGGATCTTTAAGCGAAGGATGTAGATCTTGCTTTCCACACACCAATGTGACGCTGAATTTCCATAATTCTCTCGTGTCAAAGTAATGCCAAAGTTGTGATAACTTGTCGAGCAGCTTCTCTTCTCTCCCTCTTAAGTTCAGTGGAAAGTTGCTGTGTATTCAAACGAATTTGCTTGCCTTCAGCTCCTTTCGTCTTCCGGAAGACTTCCTCAAAGTCGTGTCTTACAGCGTCTTCGCTACCAAGGATATCTGGACCTCCTCGTCTGGCTTTGGCTTTAGCACTACCTGTCCTAATCTAAACAAAGGTCGTTAGCTAAATTGACCACATGGAGTTTGCTTACAGTATCAAAGTCGACGTATAGCACAAGACTTACCTGCATGAGCTCAAACGCAGTAGGCCTATCCCTTGTTGAAGCCAATGCCACGTTGATAGCGTTGTCTCCCGGAGCCAGAGGCCAGCCCACAAGTGGAATACCCTGCACAAAGCTTTCCATCATAGAATTCCATCCACCGTGAGCAAGTAAAAACCCTACTGACGGATGCTGGAGGACCGCCTGTTGATCGACCCACGTATTACACACAAGACCGACCCCGCTGCTTTGAATATTTTCTATGTCGGCATCACTAATGAATTTCTTCGCATGCATTCCCCCAATGATCAAGACAAACGGATGCTTCATCTCGTTCAAGGTAGATATCAGAGCCTGAAAATTAGCTTGATTGGTTGGGAAGACCATGGACCTAATGTAACGATTGTAAGACTCATGGAATGAAACTCAGGAGGGACCATCTTACCCAAACGAGATGACGAGGACCTCTTCCTTGCCGTGGCGGTCAAGATAAGCACGTATTCTCTCATCCTCGATCAGTGCGTCTCGGGACCAATTCTTGGGTCCGATCTGAACACCAACGGGATACACGGTAGTATAATTGTTGCAAGCAGTAAGGGTTTCACCTTCCAATGCCATTGCTGAAGCACAGACGATGCCATCAGTGGCTTGGACAAGCGTAACTGTCTCCCTGAGCAATGAAGATACCACTGCGACCACAATTAGTAGGATGTCCACCAAATCAAATGACCTCCTCACCTGTCCTAATCATGCCAAACTCACCAAACTCTCGCTCATAATCATAAATATCTCTACAACCAGGGATTCTTATCACGGTTCCATTGAATGTATCATACCCGTTTTTGGCAATGGAGACCTGTGAAATATTATCAGTCTGTCAAAATTACAAAGCTACGTGACGACTAACTGTAGTATACTCACTTGCTCAATTATTTCACCAAGGCTCCTTCCCTGACGCAAGGTCTCATCGGAGAAATATTTGTGGGCGATCAATTCCCAGTCGCTGAAACCCCCTTCCGATGAGGGCGCAAGGTAAGAGTAAAGGCGCGCAGCACTACCTGCCCAATACAACAGAATCTTACATCCATTACCAACGATCTTTCGTGCCTGCGGCAGAGACTCTAACGAGCCGATATGGTCCAGAATCAGCGCCGTAGGCCTTGGCCGATTGTCCCTTGAGTTGGTGACTTGCTGTAGCGTCTCCACCCATCCCTTAGACAGCTGGTTTGTAATGTCTTCCACCGTCACTCCCTTGTTCTTAAGAAGACTGCGTGCTCATGGTCAAAAATATCGGTTTCAAGAGTGACACAGCTTCGTTATATGGGATGTTGAAAACTCACTGCGGGTCCCCGACTAATACCACATGAAATCGGTCTCGTGGCGCATCGGAATACTGGCTAAGGTCTGAATGAAATCAATACTGCGCCAAAACAACTCACTATCTACTATCCACCAGATGTTGAAAATCGCAGTGAATAGGACCTTACCTAGAAAAGCATGAGATACAAAGGTTACAGCCAAAGACTGGTTAACCTCAAGCATCTCAGTGATAAGGGAAATAGTACTGGTGACATGGCCCCAGGCAGGCCAAACGTGCCAAACATGATGTTGTTTGTAATCCATGATGACAACCTGTTTATTGAACAGCTGTTTACTGAACAGGAAGAAGAGCGGGGATGCATTGTAGTTTTCAATACGATTCTCATATGCAAATTGGCATTATTTAAGGTTTTCGGGTAGCGGAGCTTATCAAGTTGCAGGTATTGAAGTGGTCAGACCCCCAAGGGTGGTAAATGTGGGGGTCTTCCAAAAACATTGTTCTCAGACTCGTAAAATCGGGTGTGGACGCCATTGAGAATAAAGACAGAGTACAACAAGTGGTTGTTCCACGTACAAGAAACTAAACCGTAGATGTTACAATATTTATACGATATCATTCAACATCAAGTCCACATCGAAAGACCCGGATTCTAAGTTTCGGCTGGGACATCAAGTTTGCATTCGGACCACAATCTTCTCCCCTGACACACCCTGATTCGCGATCAAGTCGAGGCCCTTCCGAATAGCATCAAATCCGCCGTCTAGTATTCGAACAGGATGATGATTCAGTTTGCCCTCAAGCACAAGCTTCTGCGCAATTTCCCACAATTCAACCCCTAAAGCACGCATCTTCTCATCTGGCTCTCGTGTGTATGGCGCTGGATAGGTACATCCTTCGCCAAAGATGCAGGGACCGACGACGAAGTCCGCCGTGACTACCGACCGATTTGCAGCATGCCTCGGGAATGGTTCAAGGGCAACGTAGTTCCCTCCAGCGCGCCCTATCGCGTTGAAGCAGACGGTTGTAGACTCGACGTTAGAAGTACAGTCTAACGCATACTTTAAGTTGTTCCGTGTATGAATTTTCTTGGCCATTTACATTGTTTAGCCTCCGGAGTCTGTTCGGGCATAATTGGAAAGAAAGCAACAGGGACTGTTTACAATTTTTTGTGCGACGTCCTTGTCGAAACGATTGAATACTTCCTCAGCCCCATTCTTCCTCGATAATTGAAAGTGTTTTGGAGAGCAAACCCCTATCGGGATCAAACCTGCGCTGTGCACAGGGTATGTAGTCAGATGGGTACCACCGAAATGTCTCATAGGGGAAGAAACTTGACAAGGGGTAAAACTCACAGCTTTAGCAATTGCATAGCAATAGAAGCCGTCGCAGTACTACTGCCGTAGACGAGAACATGTTTCGCTTTCGCAACAGGTTCGTTTGGCAAAGGTAAGCCTAGCGATTTTACAGCTAAACCAGCGGTGCATATTCCCACAGGTAATGACGCTGCCGCTTCAATAGTCCACGAGTCTGGAACTCTCATCCACATTTTGCCCCTCGTCACGGTATACTCTGCAAACGCCCCTTGTTCTGGCGTAGATTTGAACATCTCATTTTGCGCCCCGCATACCCGGTCGCCAACTCCAACGCCGACAACGTCTGGTCCTACTGCGACAACTGTGCCAGCGAAATCAGACCCCATGATCGCAAATGGATTAGCAAAGTCTGTCTTCATTTTGGTGTTACTCGGATTAAGAGCAACGGCTTCAATGCGCACAAGGGCTTGATCGCGAGGTAAGACGGGACAAGGCGCCTCGTCCCACACGAAGAGTTGCCCATCTTCGTTCATGACGAGAGCCTTCTGAGTGGAGGGGTTCGCGGAGTTGTTAAATTGTAACCCCATGTTGAGTGCTTTGGACAAAGACTGATGATTCTGTGCCTTTTCGTAGCTTGTGAATACCAATGACTTTAGCATAGACGCCAATTCGTCTGCACCAGCCGCTGTCTGCGAATCGCTAGGAGCAGATTCATTATTGCTAGCCTATTAAAAGAGCTTCTTTCTGTCTAGTCTATCATGACTATTGTATTGCAAAGCAAGAGAGAGTTCTTCTACGATTGAGATATACCCCGCTTTAATGCATAATACTTACACCTACCGTCCTTGTATAACTGCTCCATCCTCAAATAATAAGTTTTAAATCTTAGCCGACTGGTCCCTGCGGACTTCTGTAAGGTTAAGGCAATTAAAAGGTTGCGGCTGAAGTGACCCCCCTCCCCTCCCAATCTCTCCCTTCTAAGAAGCTGGTCTATGTGGATATCCCCTGCTTTTCCTATCAGAATTTCTAAAACGAGGATACGTAAGTTACTCCCGAAGAGTAGGTTAAAAGCAGGGGTAATAGCGCCAGTAATGCCGATGACTCCACTGTAACCCAACCAAGACCTGTGATCTTATCTTGTAGCGCAGTTGGTTCCCCTAACTGCTTGTGACACCATGCCCCTTTAAATAAATGACCCCATATTATCAAGAACACACAGAATAATATTAGAAAGTGTTTTTGTTGAAATGATAGCCTCAGTTGCTATTCAAGCGATAAATTCCTGTAGTGACCCACAATCCAGATCCGGAAACTTGAAAATGGGCGAACCTGATAATGTCAGTCCATGTTTTGGCGACGACCCCGTGGCCATCTGTGGCATGGCCATGAGACTTCCCGGGGGCGTAAGCAACGCGGAACAGTTTTGGGACATGTTGATGCAGAAGCGATGTGCATCTGTGCCGGTCCCGAAAGACCGTTTCAATATTGATGGGTATTACAGTCAGAAACCACGTCCGGGGACCATCCAAACAAAGACTGCATACTTCCTGGACCATGTTCAACTTGACCGATTCGATGCGACACATTTTTCTTTCGGTCGCAGTGAGCTAGAACAGATGGATCCTTTGCAAAGACTGCTGCTAGAGATCAGTTGGGAATGCCTTGAAAATGCTGGCGAGACAGACTGGCAAGGCAAGACGGTCGGCTGCTATGTGGGCTCCTTCATTGAGGACTGGAGTGTTGAGATGCAACGGGACTCGCAGTACTACAGCAACTATCCGACTGGCAAGTGGGACATCATGTTATCAAATAGAATTTCGCATGCATTCGATTTCCGGGGCCCAAGGTACGTTGAGTTTGAACCTCAAAATGTTCCATCTACAGCTTGAGAAGCAATCTTATTGATGCGCATGTCGCAGCATGACTGTGAAAACCGGATGCTCATCGTCACTGGTAGCTCTAAACCTCGCCGTGCAATCTTTGATATTGGGAGAATGTACTTCCGCGCTTGTGGCTGGCTGTAGTCTATTCTTATCTGCGCCGTCCTCGGCTGCGGGCGCATCTGGGACTTTAGGCAACATTGCCTCCCCGGATGGCATCTGCAAGACCTTTGATGCCGCCAGCGACGGCATTGGAAGGGGCGAGGCCATTAATGCCGTCTATTTGAAACGACTGTCGCAGGCCCTTCGCGATGGGAATCCCGTGCGGGCCGTGATCCGTTCGATTGCGACTCAGCATGACGGCAGGGAGCCTGGTCTGATCATCCCTAATGGATACGCGCAGGAGGCGCTCATTCGGCATACATACGACAAGGCGGGGATCATCAAATATTCCGAAACGTCCTTCTTCGAATGTCATGGCACGGGCACGCGGATTGGCGATCTTGCTGAAGTCGGAGCCATTGAGAGAATTTTTGGAAAAGAAGGCATGATCATCGGTGCTGTGAGTAGTATTGGTAAATCTTCTGGTCTCACCAACTCAATCATTAACACAACGCTACTTTCTTTATATCCATAGGTCAAGCCCAATGTCGGTCATTCTGAGGGCGCCGCTGCCCTGACTAGTATCATCAAGGTGGTACTTATGCTTGAGAGAGGAATTATTGCGCCAAACACCAACTTCAATACACCAAATCCTAATCGTAAGTGCTCTTCGAGATTGCCATCTCTAGACACTCTAAATGACCAATCAATACCCATATATAGTCCCTTGGGCCGATGGAAGGATCAGAGTTGCTTCTGAGCCTGAGCCGTTTCCTCTGGATCGATTACGAAGAGTCAGTGTGAACTCCTTTGGAATGGGGGGCGCCAACAGCCATGTATGAGTCCATTTACTTCGTTCTTCTCAACTTCCAGACATTAATAATCGTCTGGAAATCGAAACCATAACTGACAATTTTAGGCCATCCTTGAATATCCCTCCATGGGGGTCGATGGTCAACTGAATCCCTATATCCAGCCACGCATGAATACATCTTCTGTAGTCACAGAAGAATGTCACATCTTGTTGCTCTCGGCGTCGAATCCAAAATCCTTAGAGCTACTTCACCAGGCTTACAGGCAGTACGCTGTGACAATCTCGGAACCGTACAATCTATCGGATTTGGCATATACTCTTGGATGTCGACGAACAATGTTGAAATACAGAGGTTTTTTCGTCGCACGACACGGAAAAAACGGAGAGCGTACGACAACCCAGCCAGAACTAAAACTGTCTGCTTCCAGCAGCGATGAGCAAAAGACACTTGTCTTTGTGTTCAATGGCCAGGGCGCGCAGTGGCCTACTATGGGCAAGACTTTAATCCTTACGAACAATATCTTTCGCCAATGTATTCAAGATTTAGACAGAGTGCTCAGAGGATTGAAAGCGTCTTGGACGATTGAAGGTATGGATTCTTCGCCTTGTCTTGAAGTTTTCAATTTCTTCGTAAACTCCTAGCAAGTCTCTGGCAACGCTAACATGCTTTTCCCTTTGCCATTGTTTTGTAGGTGAACTCCTTAAATCAGAAACTGAAAGTCGGGTGATGCAGTCAGAGTATGCTTTGCCCTGCAGCACCGCTATTCAAATAGGACTTCTCGCAGTCTTGCGTAATTGGACAGTGGACCCGGATATTGTGGTCGGCCACTCCAGTGGAGAGATCACCGCTGCCTTTGCGGCTGGTGCCCTCACAGCAAATGAGGCAATTATCGTCGCATATTTCCGAGGCTACATACTCAACAGAACCGGTAAAAGACACTCAGGAGCCATGGCTGCGATTGGAGCCGGCTCCGAGGACACATCTGGGTGGCTGCTACCTGGAGTAGTTGTTGCTTGCGAGAACAGTGATGTCAACACAACTATATCTGGAGATGCGTGTGCGGTTGAAACTGTGGTGGAAAGGTTCAAAACAGATGGAATATTTGCTAAGATTCTTCCTGTGGATCATGCCTTCCATTCCGGTTAGTATCAACGCGAGATACACTCAAATACTGTGACAGAGTACTAACATAAGTTTTGGAACTTCCAGAACACATGAAGGAGTATGGTTTAGCCTATGAAATGGCGATTCGCCCCTTTCTCAACACTGCCGCACCTCGGGTACCTTTCTTTTCCAGTGTCACTGGAGGCTACGTAAAGGTCGACGAATCCCTGGGCGCCGCGCACTGGCACCAAAGCCTAGTTCAACCTGTCCTGTTTAACAAGGCTCTCAGAAGTCTTCTAAAGCAAACCAAGACACCAAATGTTGTCATTGTTGAAATCGGCGCCCGCCCTTCTCTAAAGAGCCCCATTAAACAGATATTAGAGAGCATTCCCCACAGCAAAGCTAGCTACCTCCCAACTTTGGAGGAGAACAAAGATTGCCACGAAAGTCTTCTCAGGCTGGCCGGACGTTTGTTTTGTGAGGGCATCAACTTTGATCATAAAGCGATTGCGCCGCCGGGAAAAACCCTGACAAATACTCCTACATATACTTGGGCTCATGAACAGTCTTTTCAGGGGCAACACCGTTTATTCAGGGCGTATAGAGACTCCCAGTACCCTATGCACGAGCTGCTTGGCAGCCCAGTATTTGAAACTAGTGCTCTTGAGCCTAGCTGGAGGAAAGTATTGCTCCTCGAGGACATTCCCTGGCTTGGCGATCACGTTGTCAACGACCAGGTCATTATCCCTTTTGCAGCATATATATCGATTGCTGAGCAGGCCCTTCGTCAGGTTAACGGAGGCTGCTTGGAGTCCTTCTTTGCTCAAGATTTCTCTGTTTCCGCGGCACTGCGTTTGGATCCTGGCCGTCCGGTTGAAATACATACCAGATTACGACGTCTTATTTTCAATGAGAATGCGCCTCCAAGCTACGATGTCCAAATCACTTCATGGAAAGACAACGTCTGGACCGAGCACTGCCACACAATAGTCACCGCAGGGACCCATCGAGTCCAAAAGCGCTTCGCAAAGCGCGAATTTCCGCGCTTGCTGTCTCGAAACGCTTGGTACAAAATTACACAAGAGTTAGGTTTCACTTATGGACCCTCCTTCAGAAGGCTAGAAGACATTTCTGTCAGTCCCAGTGTACAGCAAGCGACAGCCCGTGTGAATCCACCCGAGGAGACATCAGCGGACTCAACCTGTAGCTACCTTTTACATCCCACCGCACTCGACCAATGCTTGCAGACTACAGGCATTGCACTCTGCCATGGGCTAGAAAGAAATGCGAAGTATATGGCCGCACCGACGTATATCAAAGAACTTCTTGTTCGTCGTTATGTAGGGCCCTTTTGGGCCACAGGAATGATGGACCAAGTTGCGCAGGGCCATCTTTCTGGAACGGTCCATGCATACAATGATGATGGGAGAGAGATTGTCGTCATGCAAGGTATTGAGGGCCACCAGATCAGTAGTGCTTTGCAACTCGAAACGGAGGCTCCTCCAATTGTCAGCACGGCTCATTGGCATGCTCACGCAAGCTTCTTCCCATTCCAGACCCTCTATGGAACTCCCTTCTTTGACGCAGATGAAATCAAGAAAATGCAGCACTTGCTATTTCTCCAGTTATTGGAGATGCGTTCGAAGTATGCTCAAGATAACAACTTTGAAGATGCTCTTCCTACGTGTGCGACCAGGTCATGGGTTGAGAAACAGATTCAAAGGGCACAGGAGACAGGTTATGGTGTCTTGTCTGCCACTACCTGCCGGGATATTATACAAGATAACCGAGATGATCATCAAGTTGCCCATCAAAAGCTACGAATTAAACTGCAGAGTAGCCATCTGCATGACATGGAACCGACGATGGACCAGCTGTTCAAGGACCCCATTCGGCAGACCAAGGAAACGCTCCGAGAATCTATCGTGTCCCGAGGCCTCTGGCCGCTGCGAGCTAAGAAACTTTTGGCAGATGCGATGCATGTTTTGACACACACAAATCCTCAGCTGAGGATCTTGCAGATCGGTTCAGGTGGGATAGGCCACAGTATGGCCCTGACATTGCGGGAACTTCTCCAGCCAGACAAAGGAACTAGGCTTTTTTCAATGTTTACGTATGCGGCAGTCTCGCAAGATCCTTTAGACATTCCAAAAGACGCCTTTACAGATACTCATGGCTTGGAAGTGCGAAACTGGGATGCCGTAGGCGGGGACAGAGATCTTAACGTCGTTGCTCATTCGTGCGATGTTATCGTCTGTACAAATGTGCGACTTCTTGATTTCTGCAACATTATGGGAACATTTACTGACCCACATCCCTATGCAGATTTTATCTGCGGAACGCAATACCCTTCAAGACTTGCAACACATAAAGCATCTACTTCACCCTTCTGGGTTGCTCATTCTTCTAGAGCTTCTTTCTGGTCAGTACCTAAAACCTGTTACTCGAAACGTGCTCCACGTCCAACACAGGTGACTAATGTGAATCTTCAGGCGATTCACTTCTATCATCTCTTGATGTAAGTCCCAGGAAGTGGCGTTCTCATCTGAAACCAGCAATAGGCTGTGCGGATAGTCTTGGAAACAACAACACGTGCTCCAATGGTTGTCCGCAGACCGGAAACACAAATTGTTAAAAGCAGGAAAGCTGACAGATTCTCAGTTTCTGTTGCAGAATGATTCGCCACCCATTTCAGAAGATGTCCTACTTCCCATTCTTCGCGACCTGGGATTTGATGTAGATCAAAGTGATCAACACAGAAGCCAGCTACCCCCCATCATGCGACTTTGTACTCTGAACCAGGTTGAATCGAGTTCATCAACCATTACTATCGTTACAAATCACCAGCAAAGTGCATTGATTAAAAATTTCAAATCGGTGCTGCATTCCTATTCCGTCTCAGCCCGAACATACGATGCAGCTACTTGCATCAATCAATCCGCGTCACTCCCAGCCGAGGGAGCTCTTATCTTTTTCCTCGATCTTGAACGCCCTTGGATCTATCACCTGACCGAGACTGAGTTCGCCGAGTTCGTCCGACTTCTGAGCACCGGTACCCAAAAACGACCCATCGTCTGGGTCACACCTTTATCGCAGATCAGCTGCAAGAACCCACAGACCGCTCTGATCTATGGACTCGCTCGTACGCTGCGATCGGAGCTAAAAGCCGATATCACGATCGTTGAGGTCGACTTGGAAGATGATGCAGATAGTGATGAATTGGCAAAATTACTCACGCGCATCGTCCAGCATCTGCCGCACCGATGCTTTGCTGACCCTTTTGACCCGGACTTTGAGTTTGCGATTACTATGGAGCATGGAATCATGGTACCGAGGCACCACTGGACAACCGTCCAACAGGAACTCTATCGATGTTCCGAGCAACAAAAGATAAGCGAGACGTGGAAAGTAAAACTGGTTCCAAGGATTCCAGGAAAGTTGAGCTCGTTGCGATGGGTTACTTGCCCCTTGCCAGGTCTAGACGCCCGCCATGTCCGATTGGAGGTGAAAGCAGCCGCAGTCAATAAAGAGGCACGTACCCCTGGCCTGTACAGGCCGTGCATGCGTTCGTGTTGATTATGGGAGGATAACTAATATCTGGTATTTTACAGGATGTGATCATAGCCAAGGAGGCTTTCAAGGCTAGCCAGGTTCTGTTGGGGCAAGAGGCTGCCGGCATCATTACTGGAGTAGGCGATGATGTAACCAATTTTCAAGTGGGAGACAGAGTAGTCGTTCTTTTGACAGGCAAAGGTGCCGTAGCCAGCCATCTTGATGTCCTGCCGTCGAGGTGCTTGCGGCTGGATAAAAATTTCGCGTTCGAAGCTGCCGCGGCGATGCCGCTGGCATGCGTTAAGGCCGAGTTAACAGTAAAGAAGTTTGGAAGGATTGAAGGCGGAGAGGTAAGTCTTGTCTTCTGGGCGGCTGGCTAGGGGAGAACTGGAGGCAGTAATGCTGAAAACTTACTTCTTGTTTGATTAAAGGTCGTCATCGTGCTGTTCACTCTCAGCGACGTGTGTCTCGCAACTGTCCAACTGTTGCGGGAAATACGAGCAGATGTAAGGACAACGGAAGCGCAAACTTCTCTTTACGCAAGCAGTCGTTGACTAGTTGACTTTTTGTCAGAGTCGTTTCATCATCACTTCGGAGCCAGATGGTTTGCTTCTGGAAAATGCTTTCGGCATCGTCAGAGACTCTATTGCGTCGGTCCCGGAAGATGCTTCGCCATGGCCAAAGGCAGCCTACATGATAGGATTTGGTGGCCATGTTTCCGACTGGGTACTGAGTTGCTTGTCACCTACTGGTACCCTCCTTGACGTTTTAGATTATTCAGACAACTTTGAGGCCTACGAAAGACCAAGGATCTTTGCAAGTCAGGCATATCGCAGCGTTAACTTACAGACACTCAGTTTCTACGATCCAGACACTGTGCAAAGGTGAGCACTACTATACCCGCACGCCACGTTGATTTTTATTTGCAGGACTATGACTGCAAACAAGTTCACAACTAATCTATGTAGGGCTTGGAAGACGTGTCAAGTACATTTCGTCGGCATATCACAGCCAGCAGATTGGGCACGACTGGCGAAGATCTTCAAGCCAAATCAAGTCCAGGAGGCTTTCCGTGCTGCTGTTGGACAAGAGGTTCAAGCAGATAGCAAGGTCGTCCTCCAAATCCCAACACCGGACCCACTGGGCAACTTTCCCTCGTCGTTCGCCGAGGTCATTCCTGCGTCTCCTCGGTTCCGTTCAGATGCTGCTTACCTGCTTGTGGGTGGCTTGGGCGGCATCGGCTGCGCTGTGGCTACGTGGATGGCAGAACATGGTGCTGGGGAATTGGTATTTTTTTCTCGCTCTGCTGGAACTAGACTAGAGACTGAATCTTTTCTGGACGAACTGCGAAGTCAGGACTGTGTCGTAAAGACGGTAACGGGGAGTGTTGCGAGATTGGAGGATATCACAAGGGCTGTTAACGCGGCGGATCGTCCTATCGCTGGGGTGTTTCAAATGTCAATGGTTTTGCGGGTATGTCAATCCTCGTGTGGGGAAAGCACATATTCTATTAATTTGTCCACTTATTTAACGGATTTGACAGGATGCTGCGACATTGCGCATGACATACGACGAATGGCGAGCATGCATCGAGCCCAAGATCCGAGGTACGGAGAACATTCACACAGCATTGTCGCAGCATAGCTTAGACTTCTTCGTTCTGTTCTCCTCGATCGGCGGACTGGTCGGCAACCTTGGGCAAGCCAACTACAACTCCGCGAACACCTATCTTGACGCGTTTGTTCGGTATCGGCATCACCTAGGGCTACCAGCGTCGGTCATCGACATTGGGATTATGGGTGGCATCGGTATCATCGCCAGTACCGGCAACATGCAAGACAGAGCCAGGTCGGCAGGATATCATATCCTTCGTGAGCAGGATCTCCTGGAAGCCATTACTATCAGCATGCACCACTCTCGTCCAAGCCCAACACCCAGTCAAGACAACGCATATCATCATCTCAGCCAGATGGCTCTCGGTCTTTGGTCGGAGCAAGGCCTAGCAGATCCTTCGACGCACGTCCTTTGGAAGAAGAACGCGCATACGAGTGCGGCGCACAGCATCCACCTAGAGAGCTTGCCCGCAGAATCACAAGTAAATTCTTCTACCGAGTCAGGACTGACAACGATAATGATGATTGCGAAGAGCACACCTAAACGCCTACTTGACGAGGAAACACTAAGATTGATCGGCAAGCTGCTTGGAACTGCTATTGCGCAATTGCTCAATCTTTCCAGCGCTGAAATCGGCCCGGCTACTGGTCTGGATGATCTTGGGCTTGACTCGCTAAACGCAAATGAGCTGACAAGCTGGGTCTCCCAATATCTCTTGGTTGATCTGCCGCTACCCGATCTTATTCAATCGGCAACAATGCACGACCTTGCAACTAAGATCGCTGTCCTACTGCTGGTTAAGTTCGGAGATGCCCTGATATAGCGAATCATATGCTCAAGTGGTTCAAATTATTATTTTATGTTTAAGTTATTAGGCTGCTGACGTGTCATTGTCAATTTGCGTGAAAGCCTTTAGCTTCTGATATTTAAAGCTTTCCCCTTTTCTTAGATTGCCGGCGACCGCTAAATACTAACGCAGCTTTTCTAGCTACTAACAGATGTGCATAAAACCGTATGTATCTATCAAGGTACAACCTTGCGTATGGCAACCACAATGGTGCTAAATAGGCTATAACCGGCGGTGCCCTCCGATTACTACTTCATCCGAAAACTAGGCCAACGACAACCAAAGATAAATCTCCAACTACAGGATCAAGGGTACTAGATTTAGTTCATAGTATACGGTTACATTGATGTCGTCACACAATTTGCTCCCAATTCCAGCCTTGAAATAAACTTTCTAGTTCATTGGAAGCAGAGTTGTCCCTCAAATTCAGGAAGGTGGGCTCGGGTTCGGTTGGACATGATGACAAGGAACATAAGTAGTTGCCATGTGGAAAAAAACATGGCAAGTAGGTTTACGTTTAACGACGGAGTTGTTTTCATGACGTTGCCGGGGGAAAGTAACTTAATCTGCGAGAAAGTACGAGTAACCCGGTACCTTCAACAGCGGGCGTGATTAAACCATACCCCACTACTTGAAGGTTAGCACCTACACAACAATGTGGCCTAAGGGTGCTGTCGTGCTGGCTTAAGTTTAGAATGCTCAGGTGGAGGCCGGCTCTTGTTCCACGTGCGCTTACCATGTATATATTGTAATAAATTCCGGGTAGCTCAACTGTATTTAGAACCTTTATTGGACTCACTTGAGTTCTCGTCACCAAAGTTAGTCTCCTTGTTCCCGAGAGGCCTAGAAATTCCCGTCCGATCTCTTCGCATTTGACCCTGGTTCATGTTCAATATTCTTTTAAGCGAAAAAAAGATTCGTTTTCTATATTATTTACTAATGCAATAGCAATCTTCTGTTTAATCATGAATATTAAGAACTGACTCTCATCGATTCAGTCCCGTGCATTAGTAACCCCTGATTTTGCTTTCACTGTAAGTCCTATGATTAAAAGTTAGCGAGTAGAACACAGATGGCAAACTAATGCCAGACGGCGGAAGGCTAAGATGGCCTCCAAATTTTCGCATCAAAAACATGAAGAGGAGCTTTCCGAGGTCGATGTCGTGGAATGGGCAAGACACGACCTCGAAAAGCGTTTTTCAATTGGCTTCAACCCGGGCCACATCGGGACCACTAGTAGTCCTGTTGCAAGCGACATCCACGTCGTGATTCAAACGCCGGGTCTTCCACAACTAGTGAGACCTCGACGGCTGATGGTAACAGCAACACTAACGGGATTACTTATTGCCGTGCTACTCATGGCACTCGACGTTAACATTTTGGGTACGTGTATCACCCGTAGCATAGACGAGCATCATGTCGCAGCTTATGTGACCACAGCTGACCCGTGATAATGTGATACGGTAATAATAGCCACAAGTATTCCAAAGATTACAACAGAATTCCAAAGTCTCCGTGATGCGGCATGGTATTCAGCGGCATTCTCCCTGGCTCGACTTGCAACACAGCCAATTTATGGCCGGTTGTATACTCTGTTCTCCATGAAAGTAATATTTTGCTGCAATATGGCTACTCTTGCCGTGGGTAAGTGAACATGGCGGCGATTTGTGGATTCTGCGACCGTTCTCTATCTTGCTTAGGGAATAATGGTGAAACAGGTTCCACCATCTGCGCTGTGTCACCAAACTCCATGACCCTGATTATCGGTCGCGGCATTCAGGGTTTGGGAGTCAGTGGCGTGGCGTCAGGGGCTCTAAATATTGGTGGTTACACCGTGTCGAAAGCCCAAATGCCTATGATGATCTCTATCATGAGCTCTATGATGATGGCAGCGGCTCTTGGAGGCCCAGTCCTCGGAGGCGTCTTCTCGGAAAGCTTTCTGACTTGGCGATTTGGCTTTTGGCTCAACCTACGTAGGTGTTCAGCGGAATTCGACCTAGTTGCATGCTGACCAGATTCTCATGGAAGCGCTTTCTGGTGTTAGTATGATTTTGGTCTGGATCTTTTTCCCAGAGCCTCACAGACCTTCAACCAGAATTTCACTGGAAGATAAGCTTATCAGGCTGGATCCTACAGGCAGCATTCTCATACTGGGTTCTATGACCTGCCTAGTCTTAAGCCTTCAGTGGGGTGGCAATCTCCTGCCGTGGAGTAGTACAAAGGTCTTTGGCTGTTTGATCGGATTTGGAGTCCTATTCTTGATATTTGCATTTTTGCAAGTCAAGCAAAAAGACAAGTAAGTGAAGCTTTGTTCCCACACTTCTGGTTAAGAGACCAATTTAGACAATCTATTTCACGTCCTGTCGAGGGGGTTAATCTATATAAGCTAATATCAAAACTTATTCAGAGCCCTTGTTCCAGTTCGTATCGTGAAGCAGCGAACCGTCGGATTGAGCTGTGTCGCAACTACCTGTACTTATCTGGGCGTCACGGTCCTGGCGTACTACGTGCCCTTTTACCTTCAAGCTGCCAGGGGTTTCTCTCCAAGAATAGCTGGGTCATATATGCTTGCCCTTGGGGGACCCGAGACGCTGGCTACTCTTGTGTCTGGAGCATTGATCACGTACACAAAACACTACGTTCCCATGATAGTACTTGGTGGAGCGATATACTCACTCGGCAGTGGACTTTTGTCGAGCCTCACCACTAGCAGTAACGCTGGACATATCATAGGGTATTCCATTTTGACAAGCATTGGCATCGGTTTCAGTGCCCAAGTTCCGCTCACTGCCGTTCGAAATGTCCTGCACGAGGCAGACATACCAATTGCAAATGGTTTAAATGTTTTCTCACAAAGCTTGGGTGTTGTGCTTGGGGCACCCATTGCCCAATCAGTCTTTATCAAAACACTGACTAGCCGTTTGGCATCTCGTCTCCAGCAAGGAAATGTCACCCAGATTACCGATCTGGGGGCGGCAAATATCAATCCCGCGCATATTGAGCCGCAGCTTCTGTCCTTTGTTGCGGAAGCTTATCGAGACGCCTCGACTACTTCCCTATATGTGGCTGCTACAGCTGCTGCAGTCGTTAGTACAGCTGGGTTATTTATGGAGTGGAAGACATTTAAAACTAAGCATGAATTGGAGAGTTAACAACAGCTGGGAAATACCAATAAGGTTAGTATATCGGCCTACATCTACAGTCTATAAATGAGAATAGACAACCTCTAGATATACAAATAGATTAAAATAATGGTACAGAGGAAAGATAACTATTTATAATTGTGGTCAGCTTGCGCTACATATAGTCAGTCAAAAAAAAAAAAGAAATTTCGCTGTTCTAGTATGTTTTTGATAAACCCGTATCTTTTGTATCTCTGGGCGACAGGAAATCACTCATTTATCGCGACATGACTTGAACTATAGTTCTGTCGTTCCAGGTAGATCCCTGTTCTTACAATGTCCTGCAATACAAAGGCCTTGTCCTAGCCGCTCGACACCCGAGTGGGTCGTTCAGATGGTAACTCTTACATACGGATCGTATCATACATAACCAGTTCATCCCGACATTGATCCATTTTGTGGTTTGTCCCCAACATCATTATCGAGTTGGATTCTCCAAGAAATTTTACTCCAGTGCAATGTTTACGAACATCGAACAGTGCCCAGGCGGAACGTCTACAACAAGCGACTGCGACCTTACATCTCAGCGTTCAAGCGCAGACAATGAGATGGATTTTAGCCACTTGGATGCCGACCTTACCGCAAAAAAAAACGGACGATGGACAGGCTTGCCATTTCCACGGATCAAAGAGGACGAGAGACCTCATTCTATGGAGATCACGAATATCAGAAGGGAAAACGAGAGACTACGCCGCGAACTGGGACAGCAAGAAGCGCTCATCAAGTCACTTCGGCTTGCTCTTGATGAAGCAGCCCAGAACGTTGTAGATCTCAAGCGCAAAAACGCTGAAGCAGAATTAGCACATGAGCAGCACATGAATGATCATATACGCGAGTGCCAGCAGGAGATACTGACATTGCGAGAGCAACTGTGCAATGTGGAAATTGCCAAACCTTCGGGACAAGCCTTCGCAAACAGTATTGAGATCTCAGACACAGCCATACTTGGTCTGTGGAAAGGATTGTCACATAAAATTTGCTCGCTCGCCAACGCTTTCCTCACTCGCTGTCCAGAAAAAGAAGAATGGGGGCGGAGCCACCAGCAAGACACTGATACAACTTTGCAAATGACAGCTGTCGAGTACGCATTACTGTCAGACGTCAAGACAAGATCGGCTGTAGTGGAACACCTTATCTGGCGTTCAGTTATCTTTAGCATCTTTGGAATCGGGCAACAAGAGGATCAACTTGGCGCTTTGGGGGTGATCGCGGGTACTAAATTCCATGGTCATTGCTGCGCCCTCATTCGTATGTGAATGCACTGTAGATGATTGCTTTCTCGGGTATTGGCGCTAACATGTCAACAACCAGCCAAAATCTCCCAAGCCACAGCTGCTGATTTCTTCTACTGGAGACCACGAGGCGCGGTTTTGGTGGAGACGATAATGGGCCTACGGGATCAGGTTCTAGGGAGGCTTGCTCTCCGCGAGCAGGTCAGGTTATCACTTTTGCTACCCTTAGACAGTAGGAAGAATATTTCGTTCAGAGATGCGCTGTATCAAGATCTGCTCAACATTTTCAGAGACGCGCTTGGGTTGTTCTCGACTTTCATAAAATCAAGGGCCTTGTTCTACGTATATTGGGTTACTCAATCAGAACCCTCCAAGGAGAGAATTATTTTTAATCCAGAGGTTATGGAGGCTAAGACATGGGGGAGTGGCCTGGATGACGGACGACGTGTTGTTTTCAATGTGTCACCAGGTCTTTCGAGATTTGGTACTGTCGACGGCATCGACTACGACCGTACCATGATTCTTGCCAAGCCTAGGGTATTGTGCGACTAGAGGCCTTCTGAATTGGTCATAGAATCTGGATAGTGACTTGATACTATTTTTGCTGTTGGATCCAGTGTTCTGGCGTATACACACCTCAGACTGAATATGGTATGCATAATGTCGAGTACGTCAACTTCTGATGTTTTGACGACCTAGAGCACGATAAGTAGCAGGTTTTAATGTAAACTTTAAAATGACTTAACACCAAGGCCGTATTTCGACATAGCTGATTTTAAGATATAGCAGCGGGCAGCCAGTCCAGATGAGCCCGCACGGCAAAGATTACAGAAATTACCGTGTTTTGAAATGTACAAGCAGTAGTAATCTGCTAGAGACAGCCTGATAAGGGTTGCCAGCACAATGATTTACAGTAAAAGACTGATAGACCATAATAACTACTTTGAATGATCGTAACTAAAATCATTCGGTGAGCGGGAGTTACAGTATCAACTGTTGATAGACGGTGGCTGTCGTGGCGAACGACTGAACATAGACTTTGATTGTTGCCGGTGGCTTCCGACAGGTCGACGGGAGTAGACGAAATCAGTATTACGCTAGTAGTCGGGCAGAACTGCATAATCGAAGGATATCACCGGCCACCGGCCACAACGAATGAATCACTGTGGTTCGCAGCTAGGTCTGCGCAATGTGCCTCAACGCTTTGGGTTGCGATCGAGGCTTGCGATTTGAGCTAGTCTAGCCCTGGCATTGCTGCACCCACAAGGCTTCGGGGAAGGTAAGCATATGAAAGTTTTCATCCATGTCGTTGCCGAGAAGAACATACATCTGACCACCTTGCAGACTTAAACATGATAGCATGTGTCTGTTACTAGTGCGGTGTCTAATATAAAACTTCCTCCTCTACGGCTTAAAAGAATGAGGTGCTGTGGGAGATGTGAAAGCAACAGCATCGCTGTTGCGGGGTGCAGGGTCTGATGCCAAACAACTCGAAACTACACTACGAAGGTCAGAGTTAATGCTCTTAAGATGTTTTTGTAATAGACTCTGAAAGAACATTTCGCCGTGCTTCTATTTTCATTATTAAGTTGAGGTAGCATCGCACTTAGTTTTGTCCTTCGCCCACAGTCAGGATGATTATTCAATAACGGAGGATGATAATGCTATAGCGAGGAGTAAAGGGATGATCAAGTTCGAACGGCCTTCAAATGCACCTACACCCCTGGGGGTTGCTCCAAAGGACAAAGTAGCTTGCTTTCTTGATATGGTTGGCGCCCTGCTTTATCGGTAGTAGTCGCCATTCACTTCATGATTGAACCGAGAGTTGCGCAAATTGAAAAGTATATGAAAAGAGCTATCCTACTTGCAGTTCATAGTTTAGCATTAAAGGAAGTTAGTGAACTGTTGGCGACTATAGTGCCCGTCTGCATAGCTGACGTTGCACAGAAGTAAAAGAGGCGGAAGAATAGCCTGTTGTACCTCAGGGCATTATCAGCCGCGCAACCAGCCCTATTAAACCCCAGCCCCCTGTTTGTAAATGTAAAAGGTAGATCATTGGTATGCGCCGGACGCGTTCCACACCCGACCGGGCCGCGAACCCTACATGTCCGCGAGAATCAGGACCCCAGCCTCCCCAATTCAATCGGGCAGGGTTCAACCCCTCAGGCTCTCAACAACGAACACACGTAAGCCAGGTTTACTTGAGCATGAGTACCACTTGGAAAACCCATCTGGAATTAGGATTTAGCTACAGACTTTCACCGGGAGGGGTTTATCGGCTTTAGTAACTTGCTAGACTAGATGCCCGAGATGTCCTCCAAGGTTCAGGTCCTGGGCGGGGCTTCTACCAGCAAAGGTGATTTTGCTTGTCTTCCTTTCTTCTCGCACAACTCTAATCCGGCAGTCCCCGCAAACACAGAACTTGGCCCAATCGTCAGCACCCTTCCCGCTGCTGAACCGGACCGATCCATCGTTCTGCACGGTTCCCTCGCTACCCTCGAACCTTGGTCAGCATCGACTCACTGGGCCAGTTTCTGGCGCAATCTCCAGCTACTCGAGAACCAATGGTTGGTGGACTACTTTCCGTTCGAGGAGGTCCGCTCGGAAGTGGATCTGCGCAAGCAACTCGACAATCTGGTTGCTGTTCCGGATGTTATTCTGTACGCCGTCCTAGCTAATCCGGCACACTTAAACCCGATGAAAGCGGCGAGTGGAGAGAAAGGCTCTGCAGGGCATGCAGAGGTATTTGGATTCATGGCTTATTCGCTAGCTGGTACGACGCACCGCGAGATTGAGGTTGGAGCAATGTTTGCACCGGCGCTACAGCGGACGGCAGCGGCAACTGAGGCACATTACGTGATGTTAAAGAACGTGCTGGAACCAGTTCGTGTCCAGGAAGGAAAGTCTCTGCCGTATCGGAGGGTATCGTGGAAATGTAACAGTCTAAACACGGCATCCCGCCGGGCGGCGGAGCGGCTCGGATATGTGTATGAGGGAACGTTGAGGAACCATCAGATTATCAAAGGGAGGTCGAGAGATACAAGCTGGTTTAGTATTATTGATAAGGAGTGGCCAATAATCAGGATTGCCTTGGAAAAGTGGTTAGATAGCTGTAATTTTGATGAGAAGGGCCGACAGGTAAAAGCGCTAGACTATATTCGAGCGAAGCTAACTACAACAGCTAAGTAATACAACATCAATATCTGTATCATATAATACCTTGCGTTAGGAAAGGCTGAATTCCCTATTCGCAAGGCGGAGGACAAACCTACAATATGGCTAAGTCTTCTTTATTTTATGCTCTCTGATTAGGTAGCTTGAGTTAAAAGTAATACTTGTTAGTTACAGTTTTATATACCGCTAATTAACCTCTACGACTCTTCTTTAGGCTAAGTAGTCTTTTATTACTTTTGTCTATACATACCGTTGTCGAGGTAGGACCATGAAGAAACACCAGATGTTCGTACTCCTTGGCTTTCCTATCGCCCAACAGGTTGTCAGCTTGTATGATGTCCTTTCGTAAACCCATCAGCCATGGGTGCAGCGCCGAGACGTAATCGTCGATCGTGATGTATTCCGTGTTGGACGCCTCAATGACGAGGGGCAGTGCTCTTTTTGGCCGGTCAGTGCCGCAGCAGCGCAAGAGCTCTCCCTCGTCGCTGTGAACGTCTTCTTTTTCTTTTCCTTCGTTGCTGCTGCTCTCTGACGTAGGAATGTCGTTGTCTGGTAGCTCTCCAAAAACGCAGTTGTCGTTGTCAGGACTGGCGTGCCGCTCGTGCCACTCAATCCATTCGCGCTGCCAGCGCTCTAGGACATCGATTTTTTTCGCTAATAGATTTGATTTTGGGTTCAGCAAGCGACTTCTGTGAAATGTCGTCCCAAGAAGTGTTGCCTGTGATGTCCCGGGTGGCGAAGGGTTCGCACGGAGGGTCCTGGCTTCAGTTCCTCACGACGAAGATGCTCTCCGCCAACGAGCCAGGGAACCTCCATAAGAGACTGAATACTTCAGAGGTTGGAAAGGGGCTTGACATAGCGGTTTGTTGTGGCATGAAAAATCGCGTGAGGTGAAGTTAGAAGGTTGTTTGGCCGCTTTATATAGTCATATTAGTGTTGTTCGTGGGGATTCACATTTCTAGGATCAGCTTCAACCTATCACAATCTGGAATAGTTTTTGCAACAATGATAATGGAATAGAATACAAATAGCGCGATTGGTCGCAATTATTCGCGCACTTAGATTACTCAAAGCAATGGTTGAGAATAACAAGTCTCGTGTTTTGGAAAACCCGTTGGGCGAGAGCCGCCACTATTAAAATACCATGCGTTATCTCCTCGTTTTCGGCAGACCCAATGCATGAATGGCATCATTAAACCTCTGTCTAATATGTTGCATTACTGTCGCGATCCGTGTCTTTAGCGAAAGTTTCACGTAACCCGTCACCGTTCCTCTGCCCAATGACCGACCAACCAACCTGACTAATGCGTGTTCTCTAATAGATGCCTGGGATGATTCTCCACTTGACGATCTTCTTGTACTTGTTCCAGTCGTCGCCATACTTCTGCTGGCAGGCGGCATCGTCTCGCCCCTCGCGATGGACCAGCATGAAGGCAAACCATGCAGCGTAAAAGTAGGTAAACAGCATGCCCCATCCCCTCGCGGCGTCTTGGATCACCACGCGTCCGTCGAGCGTCGTAGTGCTGCCAACAGCGCCAGCAGCCAAGGAGCTTCCGGCAGGAACAATGAGATAACCCGCGATTCCGGTAGGAAGTGTGAAGGGCGAGGACTGAAGCCAATCCCCCAGGTAGTTGATGTGGCGAGAAACACCCCACCAACCCGAGGTCAACAGTCGCGTACCGCGCTTCGTTTGGAGGTACGATGCATTGGCGAACTGCGGGTCATCCGGGTTGGTGCGGAAGGCATTCTTCTGTGAGTTTGAGGCGCGGAAGATGTACACTCCAATGGCGAAGACGCCGGCAACTGCGATGAGCTCTGTCCATCCGAGCTGAACGGGGTAAACCGATAGGTAGCGACACTGAGTTGAATAGAGGAAGGGTACCCAGACGATATCGCCGAAGCTGAGCATGAATCCCAAGCCGTCGGTTGTAAGATCCATCATGCCCAGAATACCTGCTTCGGCATACTGACCCTCGAGGACATAGTAGGATTGGACTGCGGTGATGAAAACGATGCTGTTCGAGATGTAACCGTACGTCCGGTATTGTTTCGCAATGAATGCCAGGTCAAGTAACGCCCAACCAGTCAGCCCAGGGCGCATTTCGAGCCAAGCTTTTACATCCACTTCGCCGATGAACGGAAGTGTAACACGAGGGTTGAGTTCGCGGCCGATGTAGTAATCGTAAATGAAGTTCCCAGTATGACCACCACGTGCTAGTTCACGCAGCTCAGGATTACCCGGTTTAACTGAAAAGCTGCGGATGTAAACCCAAGTCGCGATTATGTAAGAGAGGATAATATTGGCAGTCAAGATCTGCAAGTAATTATCCGTAATAAAGGTCCAAACGACGAAGTCGGCCCCATGTAGATAGGTTCCAATGGCACAGCCAGCCAGCTGCACAATAGTAGAGTTGAAGGCTGAGACATAAAGTCAGAAACTACCAATATGAGTAGGGCTAATGAGACAGGCAAGGAAGGATGCCGGCCCATTCCACTTACCGTTAAAGCGGTACTTGAGAGGTCGTCCAGACTCAGCCAATTTAGAGCCGTAGACCTCATGAGCAGGAAGAACGCGGTACAGGATGAGGCTGAGAAGATAGTAGCCGAGGACCCAGGCCGTCACGTTCCAGCTGGCGAAGCCCCAGATGCCATTCTGCGGCCAAGGAATCTGCGCCCTGAGTTTCTCCCAGGTGAGAGTACGCGGCTCCAGCAGGGCCGGAGCAGGGCAGCCGCTGAGATCGTTGCAGCCAAAGTAGAAGACGTACATCAGTATCGGCAGGCCAAAGACGATACCGGCGGCACCGGGTCTAGCAAGCCGGGCATGCCCTTGTTAGCGGCGCGGGTGGGGAGCCGGCGGGGTGGGCCTTGACTTACGGGCCTCCGAACTCGTATCTAGGTCCCTGCTTGGCCATGATGTAGCGCGGGTACGTAGTCTTGGTAAGGGAGGAGGAGGAGGTTGTGGTGTTTGCGAGAGACACGTCTCGTGTTTATTTGGCGCGCGTGCAGCGACGTGTTGTGAATGTCGAAAGGACAAGTCAAAAACAAGCTGACATTTTATGGGTACAACACGAAAGTAATTCACAAATACTGATTACATAAGGCAATCATCCCAGGCGGCTCCCAATAGGTTCACGGGTACCCGTGCGTGTAAAATTTCACGGGTACCCGTGGAAATGACTAAGCAACTCTGATATGGGGCTCATGAGCCAATGAGAGGCACGGCCTGCATCAAACTTATCCGGAAAGTTTACGACTTTACTACGATGCACTCTTCGGGCTTACTACCAGCGTATAACGCCTCCTGCTCTGCCTTATCTTGCTCGACTCGTTTCCAGACTTCGCTCATACCTCTCTCACTGTTTTTAAAGGGGTTTTGTCCATCTTCCGCAATAATCAGCTCATCGACCCGTTTGTGTTCAGCCCTATCCCAGTCCAGATAAGCCATCATCTCCTCCTTCGTCCAATCCCTTGACCCGTGTGAGGTAGTGCAGCGTCCTTTCATCTGCTTATAGTCAAGACACCACTCATAACACTTTTTGTCATAACGTAGCGGAAGTCCCATTGCCCTTCGATACTCCTGGTTTGTTTTGACACTCCCACGAGGTTGAGCACCGTACCAGGCGCTTCTTGCTGCACAGTACCGTCCGTATATCGCCTGAGGTGAATCGTATCCTGGCAGCGAAGGTGAATGCGAATACGCAAATGGTGATAATACCCGAGGTGGTGATATACTGGTCTCTACTACTATAGCAATAGTCGGTTGAACTAACTCTGGTACGTCCTGCACGGCGTTTGAAGGAGGTTCTTGTGTATCTGTCGTCGTCCCGGTAAATATCGCAGTTGATACTGTAGCTGGATCTGGAGTAGGTGTCGGTTCAGGCAATAAATGCGTGTATCGCAGAGGGCACGCCTTTGAAGTCATAGTATGGCCAACTGTATGACACCTACTGCATTTGCTTGGGGCCCGTGAAGCAACTTCAACAACTTCGAACCCGCTAGGCTCTCGTCTAGTGCTTGATTTGGGAATACTGGGATTCTCTAATTGCAACCTGGGCTCTATGCGCTGGCGAGGCTCCAGCAATAGCTGCGGCGCTCCATCACGCCTCAAATGCCAATGTGCATGGAAGTGCTCACGTAGAAGAACAAGATTCTGTTCTTGTAAAGTCTTCAATTTGTGTAAGCATGGGAGACCATATACTCGAGAAAACGTCCCCGTACAGGCTGTGGAAGGATTTGTGTCTTTCTTCGTGAGCAGCTTCCGTTGCTCTTCTACTTTGCGCAAGGCTTCATGCGATACCCAGCCAAGCACTGCGCCGTACATTGACCCTGAAAGCTCAACTGGTATCCGTATTTGCTGTTTAACTTGATTTAACTTTAGATCCGATAGCTGATTTAGTAAAGCATGCTTCATTGCTCGCCAAGCTTCAAAAAGGTCTAATGTGGATCGTTTCAAGTGCGATTTAAGTAGTGCATGAATACCCTCAACTCGCGAAGTAGCCACATTGCCAAAATGGGTATGCTGATCGACCCAGGCTTTCACTAGCTTCTCCTTGTATGGTTTCAACCAAACGGACGTAACATAGCCGACTTCTTCGAGATGGTCCAGAAGATAGCGTTCCTCAAACTGGGAAACGCGCTCCTCAAAAACCACCTCAGATGGCGAGCTGATGATCGAATGCCAGGAGTTATAGAATTCTTCCCAGCTCTGAGTTGAAGGTTTGAGCGCTGCAGGATTGTTGACTGTCTTTGGCTTAGTAGAGTCAAAAGCTGGATTACAATGTTGAAGAACGGCCTTGTTCGCATGCCAGAGGCAAAGCAAAGATGCAGAAGAGGGGAAGATGGTTGCAACAGCGTTAATGCATGCTAAGCAGCGATCTGTGAGGATAACCGCAGGTAGGCTAGCGTTGCACTGACTATACAAGGATTTGACCCGCTCCAAAGCCCAGGTATAGTCATCTTCTGCCTCGCTGCTAAGAAATGCAAACGCAATACAGAACGACCGTTGGCAAGCATCGACGCCAACTATATCAAGAAGTGGCATACCATACTTATTAGTCTTATAGGTACAGTCTAGTAACATGATGTCTGGGTAGGCTTGGAGAAGGGCTAAGGAATCTGGATGAGCGAACAAGACAGCCGTAACTCGGCCATCTGGTGCAAACTGCATGCGACTCCAGAAGCCTTCCTCATCAAGTTGATTAGCAAGTGCATGGATCGAGGTCTGCCCTTCACGAACATCTCGTTTAGCGGCTGCAATATGATTGTAGATATCCTGCTGGGTCGCTATAGAGTCTGTCGTTTGTCGTATGTATGTTCTGATGTCCCTGGGTGCGACGCCAGCGTTTGAAAGACCGGCCACCTTGGCTTGATCCTCCTCAGATAGCTTGCGATGCGTTGGGTGAGCAGACGGATGTTGGCTTGGGGGATGATTATGAGAAGAAAAACGCTTATCGGGCCGGTGTCTCAAGCTCCATGTGCTCTTATCCAAAGATTCCTTAGCAAGGACGGAAAATTGACAACCAGTCCCCCTACTAGTAGTTTGCCTTTGCCGCGCTATTGATGTGCTTGGCGGATGACACGACCTATCGCATGAATATGTAATCGTCCGTCGTCCGCTTTTCTCCTTTGTTGATCTCCCGGTAGTGAATGCGTATCCCTTTGTCGCCGCCCAGTTGTTGATTGACATAAAAAGCTCATCGCGAGATTTATGATCGCTTTCAGGGGGGAGACTGTCGTCTGGGAATGTGAGTATTGAGTCTTTGAGAGCTATTTCCATTTTTAAGAATATATGACTGAAGTGCTGGATGCAAATAACGCGTGAAAGGTGTATGACACAAGACGCGTTCATTGACGTGGGCAGGTTGCTTAGTCATTTCCACGGGTACCCGTGAAATTTTACACGCACGGGTACCGTGAACCTATTGGGAGCCATCCCAGGCGGGCCCTCAGCTGAGCCGGGATCTCTCATTCCGCTTCTTGGCCCTGCAGTGTTAACGCTGCCCATCTCGCTTGTCCTTCGAAAGCAATTCAACCATCGAATCACCTGTGGCCATCTCGCTTTACCTATGAAAGCATTTGAAGTTCTTCGAATTCGACTCTCGAACAACCTCTGATCCTCCGACTGCGCCCGACTACTAGTACTTGCAGTTTTAAATTCATCTTGCACTTCACTCTGACCTTCAACATCCAATAGTACAAATATATTTGTATTCTATTCAGCTCCTCACCGCTTAAAGACGCGTATCAGGCTGCCCTCTAATCTTTTAGTGCTTTGTCCGCCGCTTGACCATGATCTTGGCTCCGTTTGCGGGAAACACGAACTCTAGCAGCCAGCGAGCTGCTGGTCGCTGGCCCTGGTAGTTGTCGGGGAACTTGATGTCATAGTTCGTCAGCAAGTGCGACATGAACATCTTGAGCTGGAAGTCTACGAGAAACCGGCCTGGACACGAGTTGCGTCCACGGCCGAAAATCAGCAGGTTCGCCGTCGACAAGAACGCGTGCGGGCTCCAGTTGCCACCGGCCTCAGGCGCACCGCCCTCACCCTTCGTCGCCAACTGCTCCTGGCGCAGCCGTACGAAGCGGAACGGGTCGAACGCATCCGCATCCGTGAAGTGCTCCTCGTCTGTATGCATGGGCTGCGACACGAACGACACCAGGGCCCCGCGAGGCAGCTCGACTCCGGTGTCGGTTCGGACTCCGTCGACCATGACCTTGCGCACGAGGGCCCGCGTCGGCACCGTGTTGAGCCGCAGCGTCTCGCGCGCCACCGAATCGGCGTGCACCATGCGGGTGATGTTCTGCTTCGTCCAGAGCTTGGCCGCGTCGCCGCCGCTCTCGGCGAGGAAGCTCTCGGCCTCGCGCCGCAGCACCGCGATTGTGTCATGCGCCGCCTCGGAGCCGAGGATGTTCATCAGCATGTTTGACATGGCGAAGCTGGCCTGGTAGATGAAGCCCAGGTTGGCCATGAGCAGCCGCCGCGTCATCTGGCTCGTCTCGAGCTCCTCAGGCCGGTTCTTCTGCGCATACCGGAGCATCTTCTGCAGCAGGTCAAGAGGGTCATTGCTCTCGTCGGAGGTGGACTTCATGTACGCAATGCGCTCCTTGAAGACGGCATCGTATCGCGCTTCGAGACTGGAGAGCTTGGACCGCGTGCTCCAGCAGACGAGAGGGCCGACGAGGGGGCGCAGGAATTCGGGTGTGAAACCCGTGACCCCCGCATTGGCGACAACACCATCAATTGTGTTCATGATGGTTCGGAGGTAATCCTCATCGCGGCCTGTGCGAGTAGTTTGTCAGCAGCTTCTTCTTACTTCAAGGGTAGGCGCCCATAACGTACACAACGGCAAACCAACAGCAAATCGGCTACCAGTCTGGTTGACAATCATTCGCATGGTATCCAGGAGATCAAGTGTCTTCCAGTTCTCCGTGTCTACACCCAAGTGGGTATCGATAGCCAGTTGGAGCTCCTCGTGCACAGGAAGGATGTAGTCCTCCAACTCTTGCGTCAGGATGTGTCGTGCGAGCAAATGTGGCCAAGTATCCACCATGTATTTCTCGTCCCCTAGGCTATGCCCCAGCTGGAACATCTCGTTGAACGCCTCCCACATGCCTAAGATAGAGGCAGGCTGGGACAGCGCCCATTTCATCGAGCTATGGGGCAAGAAGATCTCCTTACGTGTGCCGAGTGTTGGTACAACAACGGGAAGTCCCCGCTTGGAAAACTATCAAAGACCTTAGATTAGTAACTGCCGCGAGCAATTGTTAAGGACTTTCTCAGACGGACCTTGTCCCAGACATTACGGTAGAGAGCCGAGCAGTTAAAGTAGAAGGAGAGCCTTGTCCAGAGGCTGAAATGCCTTTGTCCAGGCTTCTCTCCCACAAGATCGAGGTCTTTGTGGAATGGGCGCGCTAGGAAAACCCGGTAGATAAGGCCGATCACGACTGCGACTACTGCTAAGACGAGAAGCCCATGGTCCTTGACGGTCTGGAGCTCAAGAACGATGGGGGTGGCTCTAAGAGAAGGCATGACGGATACCTCTGGTGAAGGATATTGCTTGCCTAGAATAGTTCGACTATGGAGTGGCAGGCCAACCTGGGCTACCTATATACAATTATGCTCCGGGTGAATCCCGCGGCACAGTTTATCTTTTTATAGGCTTTTGGTTCGACCCTCGCTATTCCTCCAGTCTATTTCTGTGCCTCTAAAGCCATGGCGCAGCCTGTCACTTGCTTACTGAGCGTCGATGACTTTGCAAAAGAGGACAAGATTATCTAAGACTCCTAAGACCCAACTGAGTCTTCCCGGTGAGCCAGATGTGGGATGTTTGGCGAGACCCATCTCACGCTTGCATGTTATCTAACTGCGCTGCAATGTGACACGCCCGACTATGGAGATTGTGGGGGACATTTGTAAGTATTTACACGAATCTGGGTGTCATACGAGTTAGGCACCATTCCTGCATGCTAAGGTACCTACATGCAGGCCGAACGGAATTCGGTAAAACAACACACGATAAGCACGGGCCACGGTCGCCGGCTAGACGCTCCTCTCCTCCGTAACAACTCGCCTGCCCTCCATAGTAGCGAGGTTGCCGGCCAGGTTGGAAAGGGAAAAAAAAAAAGGAAAAAGAAAAAAGAAAAAAAGGAAAAAAAAAAAGAGGGCTCCTTCCTCCGTCTCGCTAGTCCGCTCCTTCCCCTCAACAATAGTAGCAGAGTTTTCCAGCCGCCCACCCGACCGGCGCCTCATTTGAACACCTCCCTCCCCCTCACATCAGCCAGCAGCCTCTCAACAACAGCATCAACATCAATATCACCAACAACAGCAGCAGCACGAATAGCAACGGCAATGGCGACAATAGCGCTATAATAGTAATCATAGTGAAAATAACAGCTATTTAGTTGCCCTATTTGCAATCTCCACCCACCTCTATATATAAACGCCAAGCAAAGATCTAGGCAGATAAGGTATATCCAGTCAGATAGATCCTTAACGAATTTCTTACTTGAACGCGTCAAACGGAAACCAACCGCGACCTTCGCGTTCTAGCCAAGAGCCCCTGTAGTAACATACATCAGAGATTCGTATCTAGAATACTGGTTGCGTGGCTCACAAGTACGCTAATTGCTTATGCACCTCAGCCTACCCACGTCAGCTGAGAATCCCATAACCTGGAAATTATTAACCGGCCGCATGTTGCGCACCAGCCGTTAGAGAATGATTCTACACATAGCATTGCAGACGCCCCTCAACTCCCGGTAGCGTCGAGGATAAAGCATGATCGGATGCTCGCTCGCTCGGCCTACGTTTTTTATTTCACGTTGTTAAATTAGCCTCTTTCTAACTTAACTTTGTTGATCAGTGTAGGCTTGGCTGGGGAAACAATTGGTTGGCCCCCGCGCCCGCGCCCGCGACGTTCGATACCAGGCTTGCCCGGGCTAGCTGGTGTCTCTACCTATAGCAGCCTAGAGTCAGTAGTTCAGGGGTTTGAACTCTGTCTAAGCGGGTCTAAGTCCGACACCGCCAATCCTATGGGGAATACTTCTGGAAAACTGTGGGCTGCGCTTCTAATTATTGCTCGGAATAATGGTAGACGGGATGCCTGCTAGGGAAACAATCCCCACTTCCAGGGCGGAGCATTATGTCAGCACAATATGGAACCGAGCAATATCGACGAGAGCGAGCTGCTTACAACAATATCTCAAAGAGAACTAATTATATCGAGAGAAGCTCAGAGGAGTAAGCCTCGAGAATAGAAGATAAAAGGGCGGCTTCTCCTGCTAGACGTCTGGTTCTTATTCCTAATCATCCTCAATAACAACACAATCAATACGACCAAAACTATCAATAGAAGTTTCATTATCACACTATCATCCTAAACAAGACTCTTAACATATTACTATACGATATATCCCTAAGCCCTATCTATCAAAATGCAGCTCACTACCGTCATCCTCGCCTACGCCAGTACTGTCTCCGCTATCGACGTCTACTTCCACTCCCAGAACAACTGCAACGGCGCCTCCCGCCGCTGGAACAACGTCAACCCGGGTACCTGTATTAACGCCGGCCCCGGCACGGGCCAAATCCCCTCCATCGCGTGGCGCGGCGTCCCAACCAACTGGCGCCTCACCTACTACGGCACGCACAACCAGCAGTGCAACAACATCAAGACCACGCATATCAAGTCCAACGTCGTGTGGACTTGCATGTCAGGTGGCTACTGGGGTGCGCGTTACCAGTTTACAAGCAAGAAGCGGGCGATTGGGATGGAGGAGGAGGTGTGCTTGAAGGGCGAGGGTGAGTGTGAGGGGAGCTTGGGCCCGGCGGATGAGATTATTGCGGAGGATGGGACGGTTTGGGAGCTGGAGGGGCTGAGTGTGGAGGAGATTGATGAGTTGTATGGGTTAGTGGTGGATGGGAGCAAGATTCCTGAGGAGTTTCAGGTTCGTCGCCGCGATGTTAGGGCTTGAGAAGACCGGTGTGACCTCGAGGCGGAGATCCACGGCAGTCGAAGAGCTGGGAGGAGAGACCTGGGAGAGAGAGGAACACAAGCCAGAGGGGGATAGTAGATACTGATTTCTGAGAGGGTTTTGCCTTTGTTTGTCTGGCCATAGCATTCACGTACATAGGTACTTATAGGGCTTCCATACCCACCGCATCTCCTTCAATTACACATACTACTATTTTCTTACCCTAGCCTACAGGCAGCTTCAAACACCTAACAACCTAGCAACGATAAATGATAACGTCCCACACCCACTTCTGGGCACCCCCCACATTTGGGCACCCCATTTACACCAAAAACGCCGTTTTTCGAAATTCTATATTAAACTAAATACTTTACTTATTAAAGAGAATAAATATATATTAAATAGATTAAGACTTAATTATAATACTTAAGTAGCTATATACTAGTATTATTAATAATAAGTATTATAAATTCAAGGTTTAACATTTATAATACTAATTTACCTAGCCTATATCTTAATATATAAAATAGGTAGAGATATTTAACTAATATGATTAGAATTTTTAAGTAAGATATAGTAGATTTATATATTCTTATACTTAGTAAAAAATTCTTTAAGCTTAGAATAATATTTTAAAATTTCCCTTAAGAAAAGTTTCTATTATAGAATTTTAACCCTTAATTATACTATATTTACTAAAGTAATACTTTTAAATCTCTTTTAGATATAATTATATACTTTTAATAAGTATAAATATTAATTTCCTAGATTTTTTAAATAAGTATATATAAGCGAAAATATATTTTTCTAATGTTAAGGAATACTAGTAAGTTACTAGTATCTACTAACATTTTAAAGCTTTTAGTTTTAAACTTCTATATTATAACTATTATTATATTTAAACCTTTATAAAAAATTAGATGGCTATAATTATACTTAACATAGTTTATATATATTTTCTTTTCTTAGTAAGTATAGTAGTTAGTTTAATATAGAATTTCGAAAAACGGCGTTTTTGGTGTAAATGGGGTGCCCAAATGTGGGGGGTGCCCAGAAGTGGGTGTGGGACGTTAGTATCATCGCAATAGCTACTAAAAAAGAGCGGGTCTGCAAAGACAGGGGGTAAGATTCATCAAAATCTTGTTAAGTGTCATTCTTCGACCGTTCTACGTCTAAAATATCTGTATTATAGATATGTCTAGAGCTGCTACTGGGATATTCTTCTTACCTAACTAAGGGCCCTGCCTCACATGCTATCTGATTAAACTGATAAGAATTAATTGAGATCTGAACGACCTTGAGCTGTTGCTAGTGGCCTACTGAGTCCGAATCAATTAACGGCAGTCTTACTGACGATATACTTTTGCAAGGATTCCAGGGAGACACCATACGCAAGTTCTGGGGGTAAGCGGGCGCTTGCAAATCTTCATCCAGTTTCTTCCCCTCCTTCGCCCCCACGACTGCCTTGACGTGTCCCACAATTTCTGACAGGGGAGACAGCTGACGTGCATCAACTTGACAGTACCTCATGGCACCAATGCTTACGACTTGGCCTCGCTGGCCACGCGGACTGTATCGTCGACTGCATCCTTCTAGTTACACGCTCTACGGCGCTATCTCGATACCTACGGCTGGTCCTTGCGTTCCTTGTATCTGGATTTATCTATCGTACCTTAGGTATCGCTATGGGTGTATCTGGTGTGGCAATGGGATTGCTGATGTTCTTCTTCCTATAGCCTCGGTATTATTTTATAGAGGATGGCCTATTCGTTATTATCCCTCCTCGCCTTTCTACTCTTCTAAATTAGCTTTAGTAGGGTACGGGCTATCTACAGGTTATATCATTTTTAGATTAGTCTATACTAGTTTAGTTTTATTTTCCAGGAAAGCTTAATTTAGATTCTATTAAGTAACAGACCGTGTCCATACCAGGTATTATCATCGAGTTGATGAGCGCAAACCCATATGAGATGGAACTTTTAGGTAATATAGTCCATAGTATTAAAAGAAGCCGTGATTTTGGTATTTTTCCTCGCCTAAAAAGTTTTTCCTTGTCGTCTTGGATACTCTCAATGTAGTTCTTGCTCTTTACACCAAAGGTGGCTACCAAACCGTTGAATGTCTATCACGACCAGAGCACACTGCACTGTCAAAGTCAGTATACCACCAGTAACTGTCCATTGAAAACATTGAGACTATCCTATCGACCGCGGCATGACTTCATTTTCGCCAAGGGAGGTGTAAAGCCAATCAAGGCCTATGCGGCTACCAGATTTGTTAACTTTTGCACTTAAAACTTCAGTACAAAGTATTACTACTCGCAACTTCTAATGGAACCTAACAATTCAGAGGAAATGCTGGATTTTCTATGTATCTAGTGTAATGCGGGGTAAAAATGGCTCTAAAAGCGGAAACTTGAGGGCCTGGCGAAAAAGGGGTCATGCCGCGATCAATGGGATAGCTTTGTTTGCAATTATTAAGTCCCAACCGGGTCCTCAGGCCCAAATGTCCGTCGAATCAAGGGCCTCTTAACCATTCCCTGACGCTAATTGTGAGAACTTGGTATATGTAGGGTTGCTGAGATCTACCTTTCTCGGCCAAACTCTGTACGCGCATATCCATGATACAAATAAAATCCTCCTTATAAACTAGAACCTCATCAGCGATGTGACATTTGCTTGACCATCGGAATAGATGATTGTAATTGAGGTACTGCTAGTAATAGAGATCTTGCATATACCGCTGCTGATATGGCATCGTAGCCCTGCCGCTGACGAGTCCTATGAGAATCGTAATAGTCGCAGATACGTCGGATTACGACGCATGGGAAGTCTTTCATTAGTCCAGCAGCTTCTGTATCGAAACAAACAATGCCTCCTTCGTTCGCAAAGTCGTCCCTGGAGCCGGCATCCTTGACTAGCATGTCAACAGAAGCGATCAGGACGCAATGTACCGCCGGGTTATCATCATCCTCATCCCGCTCACGCCGTTTTAATTCATATTGATGATCGCAGCTGAGCTTGCACAGATCATCTCACACGTCGACGTACGAAGGCGTGTACAATCTATCCGAGCTTGAGTCTGGACGCGAGTAGCGCTCGCGCATTTGAGGATTTTTGGCGTTGATGCGTTGGATGTCATGCTGGAGCCAGTTGTGTACTCTCGTAGACTTAACCCTCCAGGTAAGTTGCAGCGTGGAGCAGGAATGGGGGTGGGCGGTTGAGGATCCCGGTTCTTGGGAAACCTACAGCCTGAAGCTGCTTAGCTATATCGACCTGCATCACGCCGCCATGTGTGTCGGTTAGATAACGGACTGCCACATCTCCAAGCCGAGTATCGTGATGCTCTGATGGCACGCCACCTCCAATACCAACAATTATAAAAAATCTGATTTAAGGAAAGATGTGTCTCATGTTTGCTGCCAAGGCTGCTGATAAAATTGCCCCAGCCACGCTATGAGGAAGTGTACCGATAACAATGTTATGACCACCGAGCTGACCACAAATGTAGGAATTATTATCTCCGGCTTCTGTGCGCCAATTCTTGTGCTTTGCATCAAGGCAAGTTACTGCCGCAGCTTCCCATAGTCTGGTTTCGTCATCATCTCTACTCCTGTCTATTTCATGGATGTCCTCTTCCAGTATCTCTTTTTCACCATATTCTGGCTCTTGTTGTTTGTTTTCGTCTTTCTCATCGTCATCATCTCCTTCCTGACCATCATTTCCTTCTTGACCACCATCATCACCTCAATATCTCATACTGTGTAGAGGCCAGAAGCCGAGGCCAGCTTGATGACGGCCAATACGTGTTCTAATTACTTCGGGATATCGGGTTTCGCCACCTCATAGGGGACAAATTGACACCTTTGGCTCAGGTAGCTCTGTGCTATGTGCCCCGTGCTTCTCGACTTGGGCTATACCATCCAATTCCTGGTAATTAGCCCTAAAATGTACCTTAAAAGCTAACTCGGAGGTAGACTACACTGAGCAATCCAAGACGCAGACCCAGAACCCTCCGATTAAAAGTAAGCTCATGGCTGTACCAGTCGTGTCGACTGGGAAAGAGTCGGTTCGATTCTCCGCAATCACTGAACGTGCATACGTATGGTCGCATGTCTGAGAATACATGTCTCCTGTACTTATCCATGAGCGATTTGTCTCGTACTTGCTGTCTCGTGTAGCGGTTCAACTTAGATGACTCACTTCCATCATTCCCAATTGCTTGTTTCGATCATTAAGAAGCAGCAGGGACATTCGAAAGGTTTTCCCCCATCGCCATGGACGGCGTCGGATGCACTCAAGCTGAGGCATCGGATCTAAGGGATGAAGAGACCGAGACGTCGGATGCGGCTCCATCACTGATGTCGTATTGGAGTAATGTCGTCTATAGGGATATCCGAGGGAAAATGCGTCGACACGGTATCCACGACTTCACTTTTATCTTCGGTAAGATTTCCTTCGTCTATATCTTTATTTTGCTGCAACGGCGCTTCTATTGCTGATTTCTCCTTGTGTTCCTGAGTATACTGTAGAAACTCCCTGCTTCCCTGCCCTCCGCCTCCTTTCCCCATTACAACTATAGCTGCCTGTGCCCCTATACCCCCCTTTTCCCTTCACAACTCCGGTTCTCTTACCCCCTATAGTCGAATGGCTGTGAAGCGACGATCTCGTTCCTCCTCATCCTCCTCCTCTCCTCCCCCCTCTAACCCCTAACCCCCCGGGGCTTTCTCCCTTTCCTCCTCACGATCGTGGTAGCTTCCTCCCATATATACCATAAAAGAATGTAGGCTGGGTCGCGTGCGGGAGGGCGGGTCGCGCGACCGACGGGGCCCCAGACCATTTAACTGTTCACAACCACTGTAGCCACTGCCGCCCATAGCAGCCGACAGCTAAGTGCCACTGCGCAATAATAACTATTAATTATAAGAGTCCTGCAAAAGGGTATGTAGCACCCTTACTAAGACACCTTAATTAATAAATAAAAGGTCAGTCGATATAAACTACTATCGATTTTTCATTTGCAGTTTATGTTATTTAAGGTAACTTTAATAACTAAAGCCAGAACCAAGCAATACACCTACATATACTAAAAGCACCCCATCAGCTAAGACACAACAACCACCGCACCATATATTAATAACTAGTCATTCTCCTTGCCTAGTTTCCTAGCTATCACCGTAAATAATCAATCAGCCATCTCTATCCCTCTTTAGCTATAATCATAGTTCACAAATATGAAAGCAGTTAGCCATAAGCTAAGATAATCAGTCTAACCCTACCCAATCCTACCAAAGATAGTGGCCCTAAGATAATATCTTTCTAGCCCTAACCCAACGCGACCGGGGTGTAGGGATGGTTTTACTAGAGGCTAGGTTGTGAATTGGATCGAGCCTTGCACTACGAATCCAATTATGACGGCGTTCTGTCTCGCATAATAGGAGGATTCTATAGAGCAGTCAATAATAATAAGTCATCAGGATCACCAATGGAAAGTCTTGAGGTTTGACTTGTTGCGATCTATTAGGAAGTGTTGATCAGGGGTATGGGGGTGTGGCCTTCCCACATGTTATCAAGCTACTTAGCCATAAACTTTCGTCTGAGACGAGGTCAATAGTCATTACAGATTGATATATTGCCACTGTAGAGAAGTATCATCAAGGTTACGTCACCTAAGACTTTGCACATTTTTGAACAATCCTTGAAGCGGGCACATTTATTTTGTATACCGAAGATCCTTCTTTACATCAAATCGAGTATAAAGATCAATAGTAGAAAAATAACTTCATGGATGATCCGTCACCGAGAACTCTCGAGCTCTCAGGATCAACATCTCGCATTATCGTTCTCACTATACTTAACAGTGAAGTCTCTGGTACATAAGATACCCCGCTGTCCCTTATCCAGTATAATCTCTTCGCTATTCGTATCAGACGGCAAGCACCCCGTGTACACAGCTTCCGCAGACGACCGGCCTTCCATCGCCACCGGCGACCGTACCATATTGCCTCTCGAACCTACGACGGAGACCTGCCGCTCTACGACGCGAGTATCATCCTTGGTGTGCATCTCGAATTCGTCATGCACACTCAGATCCAGGGGTATGCCCGTTCTCCTGGCACTAGCATAGGCATTGCTACGGGATCCAGCGCCACCCAGGGGCGTTTGGCCGCTGCGACCATATCGCTCGTTGTTGGGGTAGTAGTCCATCGTGCTATTGATCTTCAACATACGTCCGAAGAGGGGCTTCAGATATGAGGCACAAGCTGCGATGATGCCGATGTTGAGTTGGAGGCTTGAGAACCACAAGTTAGCATCTGATGACCGGGTGTGAGGATACCAACTACTTTTGCCAGAAGTGAACCCAATAGTCGAAAATGGCATCGGGGCTGCCACCGGTGGTAAGCATGAAGACGGCCTTGAGGATGCCCATGATGACTGCGCTGGAGTGGAAAACCATGTCAGCCCTAACCCAGTACAAAGGGTCTAACGTTGGTGTTATAGAAGATGTCGATAACTTACAAATATCCAAGATTGAGGATGCCTATCACGTAGAGCCGGACCCGGAACCTCATCTTCAGATGCCAGATTATTGGAATGGGTAATGCTCCCAAGCAGATGTCGGTGAAGATGTTGCAGGCTGATTGTTCACTGTAAGTCATTACCTCGATTTTTCTTGCAAGCAATACTGACCAACATTCCAGTATGTTAAGTTGAGGAACAAGTTGAAGTCGTGGCATCTTGGATCGAAGGGATTCATCCATTGAAACTCCCACCACCCTGAATATGGGGTGCAGTAGACAAAAAGCCAGGAGATTGCTTGAATAGAATACGCAACCACGAAGGCTTTCAAGAATCAGTATGGTGTTTCCAAAGACTCGAGACCGTTCAGATCCGGTCGTGAGACATACCAACGATAGCGTAGAGTGACCAGCGGTACCATTTCAAGTCCCGCTTCAATCGTAGTAGACTGATTGCCATTGATATTCTCAAAAGTCCCAATGCGAAGCCATCCGATAACACCGTCTTCCAAAATGTTATGCGCTCGAATTTGGTTCGGTCTTCTATCGATATGGTCAAGCCATGACGTCCGAGGCCGTACGGTATCTGGAGGACTAGGCAGATCCAAGAGATCAGGGCAAGAATCTCAATTTTCCATCGGGTTAGTTTCATCCTTTACCAGGCACTCAAGACGTAGCTAAGAAAAACTTGGAATATTGTTGGACTTACAGCAACGAGGATGATGAGCGCATCTTCAGCCCCAAAGGTCCTTAGAATAGCTAATCGGACATAAATACGCAGAGAGACAAATGTCAGGGCGATGAAGCAGAAAGTGCCTACTATCCCGACGATTCGCCCTGCATTGCTCGCTTCGACATACTCGGGAGGGAACTCATCCATTGTACCACATCGTTGGGTATTGTAAAAGGCTGGGAAAAGACAGTGGAACTGCAAGTGTCAGATGAGGGGTGGTTGACTAGTGAAGAGACTCCTACTAATCTAGCAATATGAAGACTAACAGTTGGCTCATCTCCCATTTCGCATGGCTGCTTCCTTCAGGAAGAAGAGAAGTTTCTCGCGCCGCTGGTTACTCGGCTTTGCCCCACGAATTGCCTATCATGGCCATCTGCATCCTGTATCGAAGTTCTCATTTCAGGTCAAAGGGAGAGAACAGGGTGCGTACAACCAGCTGTCGCAATTCAGGTTCCGCGGACGGCCGTGCGAATCAATTTTGATCCATGGTAACCATGAGGTGACGCTGTTCTTGCAGCTGTACAGGCCCGAAAATGGGATTCGCTTCTTCAACGGATCCAGAACCTTGTCCGCATATGCAGGTGACGGTCTCTGCGACACGCAGTCCTGAAGAACTTGAACAGATGTGGCACAGAGGGCGGCGGGTTTTCCGAGCAGGATGTTGCAACTTGGCACATAGGGAGTACTACGCCGAGAGCGAGAGCCAATCAGTGAGAATCCGCGAACTAGGGTTTAAGCGCAGATGGCGTGGCATGCACATCGGGTTCATGACATGTGAACAGAAACCAACACTTTCATCAGGTCCAAGTTCTAGCATTGGGACATCTCACTTCATGAGAATCAATTTAGAAGTAGGTCTGCGCATCATCTTTTCTAGGAATGTGACAAGGGCCCGAACAGCAGACACGATTAATTATCGAGCAGGCATGTCTCTCAAGCCATCCCATTTTCAACATTCTAGCGCCCCACCCTTCAGATCCTCAAGCCAGGGAAAGTCGGTTGGTTACCCGTAATGTTATCCACGTTGCCAATATCAACTGGGGTTCATCAAGACCCGCTGCTGCGAGTGGCACGATCCATTGGTTCGGATGATCGTGGTCATTGGCCCGGATGGGACTTTGGAGCACCTCTGCGCCCTGCCCCTGCAGCTTAGGGTTACTTAGGGTTAGGGTCAGGGTCAGGGTTAGGGTCAGGGTTAGGGTTAGGGTTAGGGTTAGGGTTAGGGTTAGGGTTAGGGTTAGGGTTAGGGTTAGG